CCAATAAAACTTTCTTTGCAAAAACAGTTGTTGGGCCATAGGCTGTCACTAGCCAACTTTGATCCTGTGGGAATACAGATGTTAAATAAGTATAATATTACAAATTGTGATAAGTGCTGTGAAGTTGCATACAGCATTCTGTGAGAGGGCAGGATCAGAACAAGTGGCTTGGAAGAAGAAGTGATGTTAAAGTCAAATGGTGAGAAGAGGGGAAGGAGGAAACAGCTCTAAGGGGTCAGAAAATTGGCCATCTGCAGTTCTGTCTTCTAGAGGTGCAGTAGGTCTTTTGCAGCTTTCTTTGGATTTAAAGAATGATAATTTTTTCCTGAGATAATTCATGCCCATCTTCCCTTCCCCGCATCTCAACCCTAGGAGATAAACTCATTACTCTAGTAACACATTTTGTTCTGCATACTTCTGGTAAGTTCTTTCTCTCTATGTCCTATTGCTTTTGTTATATCAATATTTATCCCAAAATTTAGAAGGTAGGGTATTAAGATGGCATTTATTCTATTATTAGATATATTTTATTCAGGACTCATTTTTACAATTTGATGCTGTTTTCTCTTTCTGCCTTTCAAAACTTTATTTTCTTACTCGACTTGTGAAAGAATCACAGACCTGAAACCATCGTGGGAAAAAAATCCATTTTCCTCTTGACTACAGCTCATGTTTCCCCTGACTTCCAACTTCAAATTTGCATTTCCTTTAAACAAGTTGCACTATTCTGTAGAGACTTTACAGGAAAGGACACATGTGTTCCTCATTCTAGACTGTTTCAGGGGTATCCCAGAGGGGTACAGGGGTTTGCCTGTATAGCTTTGTGGCCACTTCAGTTTTTTCAGTTCTTTTTTTTTTTTTAAGATTAATTTATTTATGCAAACAAGAGCTAGTGTACAGGCCAGAGATGCGGGGGTAGGGGAGTGAGAGGATCCACTAGAGACAGAATGGGAAACAGAACAGGCAGACTGAGTGAAATACACTGCTGAGGGGAGCAGCAAGCAAGACAGGAGAGGTCTGCTTCGCCATGTGGGTTGCTCCCTGGCTGGCCGGGGATTGAACTTGTGTTGCAGAAGCTGCAGATTGCTTCATAGTGCGGTGCTTAACCCCTTGCACCACCAGGGAGGCCCCAGTTTTTTCAGTTCTTTAATTCTTGCAATTCTCAGGTCCAGAGGGCCCTCTGCCTCCTTGAGAGGTAATGCTTGTGAGCACATACCCTCTGGAGCCACATGAGTCTCACTACTCATTAGCTGTGTGAGCTTGGATAAAGTTGCTTACCCTCTCTGTGTCTCAGTTTTCTTATCTTTAAAATGAGGATATAATAGTATCCTCCTAATAGAGTTGTTGTGAGGATTGTCATGAGTAAAATACCCATTGGTCCTTAGAGCAGTGACGGAACACAGTGGGTATGGTTTAGGTTACCCGTCGCTGTGAACACCAGCGCCGTCTTCATCATCCTGGAACTTTGGCCGGGGCTCTGGACTCATTCAAGATCTGGGGCTGCATTGCTTCGTGTCTGCTTCACTTTCTCCATAAGGCTCTGGGAATGACCTTTTGGTATCAGAAGTCTGGACACAGTATCCTTTGGAAAACTAGTTCTTTATGTACTTCTGTCCTTTGAAAGCATCTTTAATAAGTAAAATGGCCTTTTGAAAATTAAAAATGTGATGTTAGCAACAAAATTCACCTCTCCTGTCACCTATTTTAATTCCTGTTTTAGAATTCATGGCTTACTCTCCGTGTACTCAGAAATCCTTACATGTTACAATTTTTTAAGATTTATTTATGCATACAAGACTGGGGTGTAAGCCAGAGGTGTGGGGGTGGTGAGAGGATTCACCAGAGAGAGTGGGGAGCAGAACAGGCAGATCTACTGAATACACGCTGAGGGGAGCATGTGGGCAGCTCCCTGGCCGGGGATCGAACTCCTGCTGCTGTGGCTGCAGACAGCTTCATAGTGCTGAAGCCTTTACCTCTTGCATCACTAGGGAGGCCCACATGTTATAATTTTTTTGGCCTTTCTTGTTTCCCCTCTCTACATTGGCCAAACTTGAGAGGTTGCCTGTTGTAGGATGCAGAAAAATGGAGCACTTTGGGATGATCTTGGACAAGTAAGTTAACTCCTCTGGGCCTTAGTTATTTCATCCATGAAGTGGTCTTGCTGATCTCATCTCTGTGTTTTGGGCTCAGACGCCTCCATATTAGAACAATGTTTTCTTGGCTTTTATAGACCTTGCAGTGCCATTGTTCTGATGACAGCCTCCCTCTGGGTAAGAACCAGGCTCCTTCTTTTCCCAAAGGAGAAATTCTGGCACATTTTTCCTTATAAATTACTTTTATAATTGCTTTAAAAAGACTTGCCTTTCTGTGCCCATCTTAGCATTTGTGATTCATCCTCCCCGACTTCGTGTTGTTGTTTGTTTTGTGTTTTTGCAGCCCCCTTTGGCAGGCACAGAACTGCTTGCAGAAGTGCTCCGAAGAGCTAACATCACAGTCTTCTTGTTGGAACTTGTCCCAGCCGAGATTCTATTTTTAATGAAATGCAGTGCATTGTTTTTCCCTCATGGAAATAAGAACTCTGTTTCTTATACCTCCAGACCCTGTGATTTACCACCATAGAGAAGTGTTTTGTTCAGCATCTGGTCATATAACAATTATTTTCAGCACCTCCCACTTGCCTTTTGTGCCAGCATACTGGGTGCTAGCGGTAGAAACGCCATCTCTTGGCTTTGCATCGCCACTTACAATTTACGTAGTGCTGATAGCGTGCCCAGTTTTACTTGATTCTCTCTGCCACCCTGAGCAATAAATAGACAGGTAGCAGCAACTGGACCTCTCAGCCAGGAAACTAACGCCTAGTGAGAGAAGCCATTAAAATCAAAGGTAAATTCATCCTGGGGAGAAAAAAGAATGGCCAGATAGCTCTGGGGCATAGCCAGAGATAACTGGCCTGCCGGGTATGAGTTTGCTAACTTTTTGTTCAGTTTTCATGACAAAAATAATACATGCTCATAGTAAGAAATTCAAACAATTGAGTAGAGAAAATAAAAAGTATCCATGGTGACCTCATCTCCCAGCCCCACCCAGTTCTACTCCCAGACATGGGTGACCAGTGTTAATAATTCTCGAGTATACTGAGAATATGGACTTGGCCTGCTCTGGTCATCTGTGTCCCTCAGATGCAAAACAGTGCCAGGGCTGAGTGTCTGTAGATTGGATGAGTAGTGTTTCCAGTATTATCCTCCTCATGTTGATGCTCTCACATGTGTTAATGCACACTCTGTATCTTGGAACAATTTTCAAAGCAGTTTCATGTAGCAGTTGAAAAAGCTACATGGCATCTCCTCATATGAACTACCATAATTATTCAACAAGTTCAAGATACTTCTAAAGTAACTCAAGTTTCTGTTACAGACCTTGCTGCAGGGACCTGCGTGCCACTGACTCTGTGTGTCCCCTCAGTTCCTACTTCCATTTCTTACTTAAGAAGGTCATGGCTGCTCAGGGGAAGGCATGTTTGCCCAGCTCCCTTGCAGCTAGGTGTGGCCACGTGGCTACGTTAGATTTTGACCAGTGGGATTGTGAGCAGAAGTGATGTGTGAAACTTCCAGGAGCAACTTTGAAAGGGAAGGGACAGTCCTTTCCCTTTTGTCTGTTTTACTCCACCCCTCCACCCCCCATGCAGACAGAGGCTGTTTGATGGCAGGAGCTGGAGTAGCCCTCTTCACTCCACAGATAGCAACTGATTCTCTAGGATGAGAGCGCAACAAGATGCAATGAGGCAAATCCCCGACTCTGCAGAGCCACCATATCAGGCCTGTGCTGCCACTGACAGAGAAGAGAGAACTAAACTTCCATCTTTTTAAAGCCAAACTTATTTGGGTCTTTGTTATAGTCTCTATGTGTTTTCCTACCTGTGTGAGTTTATATGTAGAATAAGTTGCTGAAAGTAGAATTGCAGGATGGGAAGATAATGCTCATATAAAATTTTGATTGAGACTACCTGGTTCTCTAAGTATTCCTCCTCCTCCTCATCTCATGAAACATTCCCATCGTGTATGTCCTTTTATCATGTAGGGATTTATATTTAACATAATTGAATTCCAGAACTTGTTAAAGATATACAAAACTTTGTTACCAATGGAAAATGCTAGTGTGTGAAGCAAGAGTTTGGTTCCACATGTCAATATCAGTGACATTGTATCTCTATAGGAAGCAATTCTAGAATACATATTTACAGAAGGGAAAAGAGAATGGAGAAGTGGTGGAGGATACCATGTAGGCCTCATCAGCTACATGGCCTCATCACCCAGACAGCCCTAACAATCCCCATCTATGTATCCATCCATCCACCCCCCACAGATCAACCACCGTCCATTCAACCACCCTTGTATGTAGTAGGTATTGTTAGTCTAACAGTCGCTGAGAGTATAGTATTGAGCAGGTTAGATATTCTTTGTTCCCATTCAGTACATGTTTAGGAGATAGGACCAAGGATGACAGTCATATAACTAACAGTTGGAGTAAATAAGGAAGACATAGATGAGGCTACAGGTGGGGAGGTTGTATGTAGGAGGTGTATTAGTTTCCTAGCACTGCTGTCAAAGACAGTACCATAACCTAAGTAGCTTAAAATGACACAAATTTATGGTCCTAGAGCTCTGGGGGTCAAAAGTCCTAAAATGAGGGCATCAGGAGGGCTGCATACCTTCTGGAGGCTCTAGGAGAGAATGTGTAGTCTTGTGTCTGGTTTCCTGAGACTGCTTGCCTGCTGGCTCATGGACTCTTCCTCCTTCAAGGCCAGTGGTGCGGTGTCTTAGCATCTCTCTGAACTATGCTTGTGTCATCACATCTCAGACTCTGATCCTCTTTGCCTTGCTCACCTGACGTTCTTTGAGATTAATTATAGGTCATCCAGGTTATTTCCCCATCTCAAGGTCCCTAATTAAATCACATCTACAAAGTCCCTTTTGCCATGGAAGGTACCGTATTCATAGGTTCCAGAGAATAGGGTGTGGACAACTATGAGGGCCCATTATTCTGTCATAGGGACTCACTGAACATAGGGGTGGTCAGTGAAAAATCCCATGAGAAGGATGGTAGGGAACCATCAGGTGAAGAACTGGGGGAGAGCATTTAGGTGATGTGGGGGAGGGAACTTGAGATCTTTGGGCAATGAAGGTGATCGTGATAGACCAAGTGTGTGAGAGTGTCTTCCCCATGGAAGTCACTGGGAGAGTCTAAAGCAGATTTGTGTTTAAAAAGAGCACTGTGGCTGCTGTGTTGGCAGTGGGGTGGGGGTGGTAAGGTGGACGTGGAAGCCACTCTTTTAATTTAGAAGAGAGATGCTGGTGGGCTGGCCTTGCTGGTGGAGAGAGATCAAACAGAAGAGACTGGACTGGACACCGAAGGAGAGTGAATCAGTAGGACATGGTGAGGGATGGGTGAGGGGTGTCACGGGGATGCCGCGTACGACCCTGAGGTTTCCAGCATGAACCAAGGGGAGGGAGGCATTGTCACTTTACTAAGACAAGAAATGCCAAGGAGGGCCTCCCCGGTGGCGCAGCGGTTGAGCGCTGGGTTGCGAAACTGCCCGAGGCCTCTGCGGCGCCGGTTCGATCCCCGGCTGCTCTCCGGCCACCGGAGGAGGGTCCCACATGGCGCGCAGACCTCTCCTGCCGCCCGCTGCTCCCCTCAGCAGTGTACTTCGGTCCTTCTGCCTGCTCTGCTCCCCGCTCTGGCTCTGGTGAATTCTCTCACCCTCCCACGCTTCTGACTGTACCCAGTGCATGTATAAACAAAAAAAAAAAAAAAAAAAAAGAAATGCCAAGGAAAGATTGGGAAAGGCGAAAGGAGAAGGGAACTCTCTAGTTTTGAGGAGCTGCATTTGGAGGGCTGGGAGATAAGCAAGTGAAAATACCACTATTCGCTCAGTCTGAATGAGATCAGAAATGAGGTTCTCTGCCATGAAGATAAATACTTGGAAATGTTTGGCATGAGCCGCTGAGTGAAGCTATATGAATGGCGATTGCCTGGCATCTACAGGGAGACATGGGGAGAGGGAGAGAACCCCCCAAAAGCACCAGCTTAAAGTGCCCCCTGAAGTTGGCAATGTTTGCAGCTTATGGGAAATGAAGTGGGGGTGGTAGAATCCTGAAGGGGCTGTTTTGAGGAGAGGTAATGGAGGTGAAGCAATAGGGACAAGCCTTAAGGAATATTATGGAAAACTTTAAACATATTGTATTCATTTTCTGTTGCTACTCTTATCATTAGCTTATTGGCAGAAACGACAGAAAACTCCTGAAGCTCAGTGCTGGTTTTTCTTGGAGGCTTTAGCTGCCTCTGCTTTCTGGATTTTTCAGGCTCCAGGCCCCTCCTTCACCTTCATAGTTACCAAAGGCGAGTTGAGTCCTTCACACATTGCAGCACTCCGATCTGTCCTTGTACTTCTGTCTTCTAAAGCAGATTTGTGTTTAAAAAGAGCACTTTGGCTGCTGTGTTGGCAGTGGGGTAGGGGTGGTAAGGTGGATGTTTGTGATTTTTTTAGGATGTCTGTGATTACATTGGGCTACCTAGATAATCAGGGACCCTTCCTCTATGTTAAGGTCAGCTGATCAGTAAATTCATTCCATTTGCAGCCCCAGTTTTCCTTTGCTGTGTAAGGTAATGTTCTGGGGGGTTAGACTAGGGACATCTCTTGAGGACCATTATTCTGCTTATATACATATATTTAAAATATCAATAGAACAGTGTAGTAAGCCCCGCATAGCCTCCACTCAGCTGTGACAATTTTTACCTCATCCCCGACCTACCATATTAATTGAGACAAATCTTAGAAATCGTCTGATTTGTCTGTCAATGTTTCAGAGTAGACAGTTGTTTAAAGAAGCTTAGCCATGAAGGGGGCCTGAGAAAGAGGCAGTAACCGGAGCAGATGTGTGGGAGCGTATGTATGTATTTTTTTTTTTTAAGATTTATTTATTTATGCATACAAGAGCTGGGGTACAGGCCAGAGGTGTGGGGGGTGAGAGGATTCACCAGAGAGAGCAGGGAACAGAACAGGCAGACTGACTGAAATACACTGCTGAGGGGAGCAGTGGGCAAGACAGGAGAGGTCTGCTGCGCCATGTGGGTTTCTCCCTGGCTGGCCCGGGGATCGAACTCCTGTTGCAGAGGCTGTGGATTGCTCCATAGTGCGGTGCTTAACCCCTTGCGCCACCAGGGAGGCCTGTATGTATGTATGTTTAATATTAGAGGCTTAAGCATGTGAAATTCTGTCAGGAAGGATCTAATAATGGAGGAGACATTGGTGTGGACAGTGAATTCTGTCATTAACAGAGGGAGGCACCTAGGCTTGAAGATTTGGAAAGTTGAACGCGTTTCTCTCTGCTGGTTTCATTTTTTTTCTTCTGTTGAGAGGGAGGCCAGGTGAGGCACAAGGGGACTGTTGAAGTTTTGATATGCTTGGGGAAGGTGAAATAGTCATCGCAGTGTGGAGAATGAGTACACCAGAGAGATGCTGGAACACGGGATGTGGATTTGGCGGATCTTAGTGCATCCAGTGGGCTGGGCCATGTGACTCGCATCCCTTAGCTTGTACATCTGTCTGGGTGTTTGTTTAAAGAAGGTGAATAATTTGGTTCAAACTGGTGGATTTTTTTGGTCAAAGGGCAGAGTAAGGGGTGTTTTCAAGAGCAATTGGATTCATGGCTCATGGACTCCAAGTGAGAAAGTAGAGGTGTGAAAGGGCCAGCGAGGTGTGAGTGAGCTGAGTGGGGTGCCCGAGGAAGCAGCGGTGCTCGACCTCAGTGGGCGTCTTTGGCACTGGGCAGCTGAAGGGGAAGGGGATAAAAAAGATGATTGAATAAGATGTGGGAAGTCTCCTCCGCAAGGATCCTGAAACCACCAGGCTGATTGCAGGGATTAGAGTATAAATGTAGATCTTCTGTGAATGGGGTGAGAGGGGTCAGTGGGGGATCAGCCAAAAAGAGGTGAGGAAGGGGTGCCGGGTGGCTCAAACCTCGCAAGGGTAGACGCTCAGACAAGAGGGTGAAGGTGCAGTGTGCAGAAGCAGCTCTGAGGGTCAGGGCCCAGGTGACTTGCCCTCTAGACCTCTCTGGATGATGTGTGTGCAGGTATCAAGCAAGAAAATGGGCAAGCTTCACCGGAAGGGTAGTGAGCACAGATTGACCTGAGGAAAGAGCTGGTTTCACTGAGTCCACCCTCTCCTTTCTCTGCTGCGTGCTGGGTCTCCCCTCTGCCCCTGGGTAGCTATCCTTAGTATGAGTCACCACCTACTCCCAAGGAAAATATTAAGATAGGTAGAAAAAAGCAGAGTCAACCTAAGAGTTCTCAAATAGCAAAAGTCATGTATTAACTTGAATATATAGCTACCTCGTAAAGAGAAATTTAACGATTTCTGGCTACATGTACTATACTTTTATATCTGAAATTCCTCCTGGGGTCTCAGCCATGTATTCAAATGTTCAGCAATGACTCTGGGTATATTTAATATGCATTATTTACATTGATTTATGATTGAGATGTAGCTTTATTGAAACTTTTTTAGTGATTTTTGTGTACGCCATAGTGTCTACCGTAACCTGGTATTACCTAAAACTTTCCAGCCTTTTCTTTGGGGGTGCATTATTGTAAAAGCAATGAAAGCCACACCCACACAGGAGAAGATGGAGAAACTGTTACACACAGATGAACATTGAGCTCCTAGTCTCAGTGATGGGGAGAGGAAAAGTATAATGAACCTAGAAGAAAGTGTATACAAAGGCTGTTATTATCAGGGGGCGGAATGTGCCATTTCTGCTCTGGTTCTATTTCCTCGGAATTGGGTTATTCTGCATTTAATGTTTACTTGTTGCTGCGTGACCATTTTTACTGGTCTCAGCCCACTTGTGTGGCCATTTCTCCCCGAGACAGGCAGGAGATGCTAATTATGAGTCAAGTAGAGGCAGATTTATTTTTGTAAAGTGTTTTCTTTTTATAATACCTGTCTCCCAAATCTCTGACATGCTGTGAGCCTGCTGTGGTGGCTGGAGGATGTGATGACTGTGGACTGACACTGCAGAGCCGTGAGGGAACCACGGTGCACAAGGGGCCTGATCCTGCGCACTCCTCCAATGACCTGGTTGCACTGATCTGTCAGTCTCTTTTCCTAACCCCAGCAGACTCATCCGGGCTTTGGGGAGGGGGATGGTAATGGCAGTGTCCTGTAACCAGCCACACTGGCCCTTTGTGGGGTTTGGTAAATGGTTCATTTGATCTGATTGCTCCACGTAGCATGTGGTTATGAATGTGGACTACAAAGTCCAGTTCCTGGGTTCAAGTCCCAGCTCTACCACTTACCAACTGTTAAATGGGGATAATAATCCAGGCTTGTTGTGAGAATTGAGTGCAGTCCCTGGCACATGGTCAGGTGCCTGGTAACTGTCTTTATTATCTTCACTTTGGTGGATTTGTTGGGTTTTAAATTTTGTCTTTCTCTGTCACTCACACTATTCCTTGGACATTTCGCTTTTGCAATAAGGCCTTCTTTGACCACCCTATTTAAAGCTGCAATTGTCTAACCTCTATCTCTCCCCCTCTCCCTGGAGTCCCCACCCTCATTACCTTCTATATTTTTCTCTACTCTCCTTGTCACCTTCTCCTATACTGTCCAATGTACTTTCAGGCTGTTTTCATCCATGAAAATACAAAGGTCCTGAGAGCAGGCATGGTGTCTGTCTTGCTCTCTGTTCTGTTGCCAGCACCTGGAATATTTCCTAACAGATGGGTGTATAGCACAGCTCTGTCAGAATGAAGAAACTGACTTTTTAGAGTGGTGGTAGGATTCTTTGCACCACTGTGTAGCATAGAAGCTGCTGCAACTGTCTGAGCTTCACATATTTTTATTCAGAAGTTTTTAGTGACAGTTGTTCATTTGCTTGTCTAAAGCCTCCTTCCCCATTGAGAGATAATTGAAGCCGAGTAGTACAAGTTGGAGAGGAGGTAAGGCTGACATTAATTCAACGTGAGTTGACTGGTTTGTGTCTTAACACTTTTTCTTTCAGCATGAACATCACCAGACACCTTGGCGGCCAGCAGGGATGCTTGTCCCAACTATCATTTTTACTTTCTTGTCTATCTTATGCTCAATAGACTTCTGTTATTTTTCTCTTTTAGGGCACCAATGCCTCTGCTCTGGAAAAAGACATTGGTCCAGAGCAGTTTCCAATCAATGAACACTACTTCGGATTGGTCAATGTAAGTATTTAAAAATGTACTATTTTTATCAGATGTTTTCGTGTCCCAGAAGCAACTCCACTGCCACTTTCATCATCTCCAGTCTTTAAAGAAGATCCAATCTTGTACATACTCTTTTGTTATTAAAAGTGACAAATGTTCGGGAGGAGGAAAATTTAGTCCAGGTTTTGAAAGACTCAGTAGTTTCAGAAAGAGGTTTCATGACTATATTTTGGGTCACAGCCACCTCTCCTCTCCTCCCCCTGTGCTTTCCAGGATAGCCTTTGCACACCTGACTGGAACAGTGAATTTATTAGTCCTTGTAGCCACGTCTGCCTTTCCATATTCTCTCTCATCTCATGGACTCCAGGGTGTCTTTGTTTCAATAATATCAGTGCAAACAGTTTTTAAAAAAGTGTTACCAGCTCTTTACCACATTGCTCAACAATATTAACTTGGTGGTAGTCCCTGGCACAGAGGCACGGTGTGGAGGAAAGCTGGGACCAGTTTGCTGCAAATTGCATGAGTTTATCTTTTTTGATTGCTGAGTAATATTCCATTATATATATGTACCACATCTTCATGCTCAGCGAAATAAGCCAGAAAGAAAAAGAAAATTACCGGATGGTCTCACTCATAGCAAGAATTTAGAAAACGCAAATAAGGGACCAGGAAAAAGACTAATTATAATAAAGTAAAAATCAAAATCAACAAGCAGCTATAAACCAGGAACACACTACGGGGTGGAGGGGAGAGGAAGAGGGATTGGGGTCAAGATAAGGGGGGTGGGAATTGTATGGGGAATATAACCAAGATGAAAATGCAGACGTTGTGCAAAAATGAGAAATGATGTAAAAAATATATAAAAGAAAAAAAAGAAAAACTGGGACCAGTTTGTCTCAAAACTCCCCATCCTTGTATCACCATGTTCAGCCTTGCCTTCTGTCAGCGGCGGCGCTTCCCAGGCTCTGAGTTGTGACCGAGGAGTCAGCAGCAATTCTCCCACCCTGGTCAAGTGGATCCTCACCTGATCCTTTCTCTGGGGGGTGAGGAGAAGGTTTTACATGATATAAACTTTCAGTCATAGTAACTTGTTTTCTTGAACAATTGCTGCGAGCATAGCCTGTTCATGCCCAGGAGCCATAGGGCGTAATTTCCACTGGGGGAGCTGGAAATACTCTCTGGGGGTATGTGCCACCTGTGGGCTCATGGGGAGAACGTTGGTGTCTAAGTTATACTGACCTGCGCACATCTGAATTCTGCCCAGGCTGCTCACTGGCTCTGTGTTCTAGCTTGGCACGTCATTTGACCTCTCTGAACTTCGATATCCCTGTCTACAAAATGGAGATCTCCGTGTGTACCTCTTGGATTCTAGTGAAGGTTAAACTCAAGCTCCTTCTGGAGACCTTGACAGGAGGGTGAGGCACATGTAGATTCTCAGTAAATGTTAGTTCCTTTTCTTCCACAGGACTTGTCTCCTGGCCCACTGGGTCAGGGACAGGCGTTCTGAAGGGCCTCTGGTTAAAGCTGAGACATTGAGTAAAAGAGAAAAGCATGGATGGAGGAAGGCTCACGTGTTGGGATTACTGGCTTCTGATTTTGATACAATTTCCATTTATTTGTTTATTTATCTATTTATTTTTGCCATTGTGCACAGCCCCCTTGCTTGAGCTCTGTGAAGATAGTTACTCAAGTTCTGGGAATTCTGCCCTGGTTAGTCCAAATGCAGACTCTGGAGGAAAAGGAACTAAGACCACTTCCTAGTTTGTAGAAGCTGCGTGAGAGCTGAGTTTATTAATAGCTTCATTTGTGTTTACTTCAAATGGCAACTCATCAAAGTTGCAGCTTCTCTTTAAAGAGAGGTTTGTCTCTTCTTACATAATTGTGTCAAAGTAGAGGAAAATATGTAAAAATAGGAAATGTTCTATCTTAGCATACGTAGAAATGTCATGTTAAGTATGGCACAGCATCTGTCTTGCTCCTGGGTAAACGACACACAAGCCAACAGCCAATCTTGAGAAGATGTTCGTGTCCTATTTTAATCTTACACAGCATTTTGTAATCTGTTATTAATCTGGCTATTGCCTTAGATTTTTCCCTTTTCATTTCAGTGCATTTGAAAAAGTCTAAAGCCATCGCCTTAACTGTGTTTTCCCAGAGTTGGTTTTATAGTCAGTTGAAAACCGGTGAGAGGATGACTTTTTCCCTCTTTAATCCTCATCTGAGTGTCCGTGGGTTTTGAGAGGTGCAGAATATTACTGTATGGACCCGCATCTGACTGTCAGGAGAGCACAGCCTTGGTGGTGGTATATTGGGACAGTGGCCACCTTGGCAGAAACAAGACTGAGGAGTAATTTTGAGCCACAAGGGGATGACATAAAAAGGCACTTCTTTGCCTCTGCCACTCTGGAGTCATGAGGAAATGTGGTAGAGTTGGGGACTAGGGAGTCCTGAAAGAGAAACACTAAAAGAAGTCTTCATTCATTTGAAGCTCTTTCCCCTGAGCCGGTGGTTCCTAGTTCCTGGATGTCTTTCTGACTTGCGTCTTTATTTTCCATGTCATGGAAGTTTGGATTTGTTGCAATGTTGCATCTTTTATTTAGCCAGCTGCTTTTCTGGGTCTTCATATTATGTAGATTTGTTTGCTGTGTCTTCCTTTCAATACCAGAAGGTCTCCTTAGATTTTTTTTTTTCCCCTTAATCAAGGCAGAGTACTTGCTAATCATTTTAGGAACTTCCTGGGCTCGAGAGGTACCAGGCTGATGCAAACTTGTGTTCATTTCCCTGCTGATGAGCTAGTCTCTGGTGTCTGGAGTGGTTTCCTAATGTGGGGGTGGAACCCTGCTGTCAGGAGACCTGGGCCAGCAGGCGGTGGGTGGCGTTACCCCTCTCCCTACCAGAGGCAGAGATGGCGCATCCTGGACAAGAGCTTGAACACCCCGCCCCTTGTCCTTTGGCAGTTCGGAAACACGTGCTACTGTAACTCCGTGCTGCAGGCACTGTACTTCTGCCGGCCGTTCCGGGAGAATGTGCTGGCATACAAGGCCCAGCAAAAAAAGAAGGAAAACCTGCTGACGTGCCTGGCAGACCTCTTCCACAGCATTGCCACACAGAAGAAGAAGGTTGGCGTGATCCCACCAAAGAAGTTCATCTCAAGGCTGAGGAAAGAAAATGGTGAGTACTGTAGCAATTAATGTGTCGAGGGTTCTGAAATAAGGAGCATTGACTGTGTATCTTCAAAAATGAACCCATTCCTTGAAAGGGAAAATAGAATGACTCAGTCGTCAAATAATACATATTTTTTAAAGATTTATTTTTATTTTTTATACATACAAAAACTCTGGGTATAGTCCAGAGGTGCGGGGGTGAGAGGATTCACCGGAGTTGGAGTAGGGAGCAGAACAGGCAGATCTGCTGAAATACACTGCTGAGGGGAGCAGCGGGCAAGGCAGGAGAGGTCTGCTATGCAATGTGGGTCACCTCCCTGGCTGGAGATTGAACTTGTGCTGTAGTAGCTGACTGTAACTTCATAGCGCTGAGACTATAACCCCTGCGCAACCAGGGAGGCCCTCAGATAATATTCTTTTAAAGAAAAGATATCTCACCTTTCCTGCCCAGAAGATATAAAATGGGACTGGATAAAAAATATGCTTAAAATTTAGATTTGGGCCTTCCCGTTGGCGCAGCGGTTGAGCGCTGGGTTGTGAGGCTGCCTGCAGCCTCTGCAGTGCCGGTTCGATCCCCGGTGGGGGTCCCACGTGGTGCGCAGACCTCTCCTGTCGTGCCCGCTGCTCCCCTCAGAGGTGTGTTTTGTCGTTCTGCCTGTTCTGTTCCCCGCTTTGGCTCTGGTGAGTTCCCTTGCCCTCCCGAGCTTCTGACTGTGCCCAGTGCTTGTATAAATAAATCTTTAAAAAAAAAATTTAGATTTATCATGCTATTTTGGAATGATTGTTTTATTTGTTTCACATTGGGTTTTTTTTCTGGTAGGATCTTTGTAACAGGAAAAATGGCCCAAGAGAGCCCTTCTGAGCAGGACACTGGAATAAATAGGTTGATGCAATAAAGGAACAAAATAGTAATGTTTTATAAACCTGTCATAAGTGATTAGAATAAATATATACCATCTAATCCGAGCCACTGCTGTTTTAAAAATATCTCTGATTTTTATTTGCTAGACGATTGAAAGCTATGAAATTGATATCTTTATATAATAACTATATCCATTTCCCCCCCTGATTTTTTAATCTTCTTTTCAAGGGAAGCGCTGTTAGAAATTAGATTATTCCAGAAGTTCTGTATTAGTAGTTTTTGTGACTATAGAAATAGTTGCTAGGGCCTCCCCTGGTGGCGCAGGCGGTTGAGCGATGCGCTGTGAAGCTGTCGGCAGCCTCTGCAGCACCAGTTCGATCCCGGCTGGCCTGTGAGGGTCCCACATGGCGCGGCAGACCTCTCCTGTTCTCTCCCGCTGCTCCCCTTAGCAGTGTATTTTGTCAGTCTGCCTGTTCTGCTCCCTGCTGTGTCTCTGGTGAATCCTCTCACCCTCCCTCATATCTGGCCTGTACCCCAGTTCTTTCATAAATAAATAAATAAATCTTTAAAAAAAAGAAGAAATATTTACTATTGTTACTTCTGTTTATCCTAGATTTCAACTTTACTTAACAGATTTGTACAGTTAATCAGATGTTTGTTTTATAAAGTCTCCTTTAATTTGATTGCTGTCTTTTAATGTTGCTGTAGTTTATACATACCAGAATAAAAATAATTCAAGAAGGAAACAGAGCACTCCCAAGTCTCGTTGTGAACATGATTAATAATGAAGTTTTGCAGCTGCATTCATCTCTTGATTGTTCTTATGGCAGGGACCAGCATAGGCTTCTGTGATGTATCTGGTTGCAGAACTCTATCAGATAGTCACACTCTCACGTGTGTCCCTCATCTCCCTTATGTGTTTTATTTAAGCTGCTTCCAGCCTGCTCCAGGGTTTCATATGATCTTTGGGAAGGGACTCCAGTTGCTCTAGATAAATTACAAAATGAATAATTGATCATTGGTGGTCATGACATATTAAATATTGATATTTTATCAGGGAATTTATCAAGTATTTCTATTCTTTATATACTTTTTTTTGTGGGACAAATAACAATTTTGGTACCATTTTGTATACATGATGACTTCAGGGCAATATGGAAAATTTAGTCCTTCAGGGTGGTCGGAAATGGAAATAAACAAAAGTTCTTTTAAAACTTACCCACTGAAATTGCAAAATAGTGATGAATATGTTCCAAGCCTGTCTACTCTCTCAGCATAAAAACGAAATGTGGTGTGTAAAACTGAGCATTTTCATTTGCTTTTCAAGAACCAGACACCACACACTGAAATAATGACCTTCTCCTTTTCAGATCTCTTTGATAACTACATGCAGCAGGACGCTCACGAATTTTTAAATTATTTGCTAAACACTATTGCGGACATCCTGCAGGAAGAGAAGAAACAGGAAAAGCAAAATGGAAAATTAAAAAATGGCAACATGAATGAACCTGCAGAGAATAATAAACCAGAACTCACTTGGGTCCATGAGATTTTTCAGGGAACGCTCACCAATGAAACTCGATGCTTGAACTGTGAAACTGTAAGTGCTAAGAATACAATCTGTCTGTTCTTAGTTGCACAGTTTTTCTTGCACAAGGGTATAGCATCTACCGTTTGTTCTTAATATATGCACACAATTCTTTTTATGTTCAAACCCCAGGGGCAAACTTTTGGAAGCACATCTTCCTCCAAGAAATCTCAGCTGACTAATGTAGAGTGTTATAAGCTGGAATGTTTTGCACCATGAGCAAATGTTAGGGTCCACAAATTTACCTGGATCTCAATCAGCTTACCTTGAAAAGATTTTGGTCACCAGGAGGTCATGTGAGACTTAGAACAGACCATTGCTCCAACTTCAAGGATGTGGTATGGTGAACTTGAGTTCAGAGGACAGGCCTGCTTTCTGACTCTACAGCAGCTATTTGGGTGTTTGGGCGAGTCCATGACTGTGCTGTTGTAGGACTAAGGAGCTTGTGTGTTTGGATGAGTCTGGACTTTCTCACGATATATACCATCTATTATGTTGTTAGTTTGAGTTTTTTGGGAATTAGTCTAGAGACTACAGCATGCATCCTTTTTTAGTTCATTTTTTTGCTGTTTTCCCACCAATGCCAAAACCTTTAGAACACTTCATTGCTTTTTCCTTCTTTTGAGTTGTTTCCTGGTGAACTCATGAATTTTAACATTTCATGTCTTTTAATCTGTTGCAGTTTTTATTCCTTTTGATGTTGAATTTATTTTTAGAATAGATGTATGTACTTTTAAATGTCAAAATTAGGGCTATATTGTAAATATTATAATTTGCAGATTTGCCATTTGTTTTTTCTTTTAACGAGGGAGTATTCCTTGACACCGTCTTGACCTTACTTCTTGGATGTATTTTAGCACCAAGTCCTGTCTGTTGTGTCTTTTTAATCTTTTGACTCCCTGCAGCCCCCATTGCTCCCTCCCTAGTGCAGGTCACCCATCAGCTCTTGCCTGGCAATCCCAACTACACTACTACAATGACTTCCTACTGGGTTTTCTTTTTCTCTTGCTTCCCCATGTTACTCTCCTGCCTGAAGTACAATAGTGACTTCCTATTTGTTTCTTTTCTTTGAAAGAGTTTGTATAACTTTTAAAAAGGTTTTTGAATATTAGGTAGAACCTTACCATCTAAACATATACTTCAGTTGGTTTTTTTGTTTATTTTTAGGAATGATCATAAAATACATATTTTTCTGTGTTCTTCTGCTCATCATCCCTTGTGAGATCCTTTTGTGTAGTTGTGCAGTGCTGTAGTTCATTCATTTTTCTTTGCCATGCAGTATTCCATTGAGTGAATAGACCATAATTCACTAATCCATTGTGTAGTTGATGGGTATTTGGTTGTTTCCAATTTTGGGCAATTATAAATAACCCTTCTATGACATTCTGGTCCATAAAATGTGTATGTACATCCAGTTTTTCTAGGATCTAGACAGAGAAGTAGATTTGTTAGGTCATATGAGGTTATCATTAACTTCATTAGAAAATATCTGATTCCCAAAAACATTGTACCAATTTGCACACCCTATATACGAACATTCTTATTTTTCCACATTATTGTCTGCAATATCATTTTGAAACAACTTTCTTGTGGGTAATACAGTGGCTGTATGGATGAGTCTTCTTTTGTTCAGTAAATATGGGTTTATTTTTCCCCATATAAAGGAATAAGCACTGGGGATACAGTAAGAGCCTGGCCTTTCTGGAACTTTCAGCATAGAAAACAGATATTAATGACAAAATGAACTAGTTGTATAATTACAATTACAAGCCTCTAAGAAGTACAGAGTCTCAGATGAGCTTATGACGAGGAGCCGAACAGTGGGCATCACATCACTATCTCTGCGGCCAGGAGACCTGCTCCAGGCTGCACAGCCAGACTAGCCTTTGTGGCTATCTCTGAAATGAACACGGCAACTAAGATTTCCAGGAAGTCTCAAGTGATAGGTTCTTTCACTTTTGCACTTTCTTTTTTGTCTATAAACAGGTCAGTTGATTCCAACAAATACAAATATTCTCTCCTCAAATATTTGTATTGTGAAGACAGCTACCTAGCCTGTTATTTCCAGGAGGGTTACTATGGATGGGACACCTTTCCCCAGAGATTTCCCCTAAAACTTCTAGATGATACTGGAGAGCTTGTTAGAATGGAATTCTAACTGTTTACATACACATAGTTTATGGAAAGTGAGTGAGTTTTGAATATGTCTTTATGGAGAGTGGAACACTCTGAAAATCCCATACTTTTATCCCCTGAGATGATGAGATGATTTGAAGCAAGAGTGTTTTTCCTGTGCAGTTATTTGGATAATCACCTCCATTTTCTCAGCTCCTGTAATGGGTTGGAGCCATCTCGTGCTTCCTCCACCATGCCACGCCCCTGCTGTGACACCCTTGCCCGTTGGTCACCAGTATCTGCTGGACACTGTCCAGGGACAGAGAACTCAATCTCCTGAGGCCACACACTCCATTTTTAGAAAGCTCCCATTGTTAGAAAGCCCTAGACTTTCTAAGAAAATACATAGCTGCAGGCTTTTTGTTGTAAACTGTGGAGAATTTAGTGTAAAAGAAGACCCAACGTTAATGTTTTCCTTCACAGGATGAGAAACACAGGTCCCTTTGAGTAACATCCTCTGCCCAGGGCAGGAAGCCTTTAGACAGCACTTCAGTCAGAATTGCCAAGACCTGCGTCCATGAAATCTCACAGTGGGATTAAACTGCACTAGATCCTAAGCAGCAAATTAGCCCCTGGGGGAACCTTGCCATTGTAGCAGCCTCAGCCTCTAGTCCCTCCTATGTGGAAAACTCTTTCTGCCAGCTCTCATGCTTTCTGAAAACAATGATTTTTTTTCTGGGTCTCACCCTTTGTAAATGTTGCTTGTGATTGCAGTGCAAATGTCAACTGAGAGATTTATGGAGACAAATTGTTTCATTCTGCAGTAGACTTAGAGAGGCTATTTTAAGGGGGTAATTCTGTGCTAGTTTACTCAGATAACCTTGATAAAGGCGCTCCAGAATGGAGGCGTGGGGAGTTTCCAGTCTAGCCTCCTTCTCCCTTGGTTGTTCCTTGCTTGGTTCATAAGATTTGCTGGGCCAATTGGAACTTAATTTTGTTGTTGTTAATTTCCCCCCTTTTCCCATTGAACATCGCTCTGCAAATCTCTGGTTTATAGTGCTTCTCCCTGAACGCATTTCTGTTACTAGACCCAGCAGGTTGTCAAAAGAACAGCTTGATTAAGTACCAATCATACAGCTCCTTCTTGACAGAGCTTGAAATTGATCCAGTAGAGCTTGTGAGCACCTCACAGAATAGGACTGAGGCTGGGTGGTGTGGCCAGGTATGACCACTTCCTCAGTAGGGGTTCAGAGGCTGCTCATGCTGGTGGGCTATAGTTTGCCCCACTCAAACCCCACCATTTTGACTCTGTTCTAAGCCAGAGCCTTTTTAGTTCCTGTCTGAATATCATGGAGCTGCTGTCTAGTCTCACCTATACTACTAAGTCCAGGAGAGGATTTGGGGCCTATAGGAGCACATTTGATGAGGATTTTAATTACCAAGAACCTCGCAGACTCATGATTTGTATGTATGCTCTCTATGTTAATGTTCTTCCAATTGATTTATTGTTAATTATTTTTTAAAAGAAGAGCAAGCAGAATCTCTCTACCCTGCTTAAATGAGTTTTGTGTGAACTCCATGCCCAACATTGGGGACAAAGAAAGAAGAATAAGATGTAGCCTGCACTTGCTGAGGATTGGAGCCTTGGTGATATATATGTTTCCTTGGAGACAAGCTGTATTTTCACTTAGACCAGAATGAGATCCTGTGTGTGGGAAGAAAATGGTTTTATCTTCTGACAGCTTTCTTGGAAGAGAAAGGCAAAAAAAATTTGCTTGATCACTCAACAATTTTGACTATATCAGTGTGGGGCAGAGGAAGAAAATATCCAAATGGATTTTGGAAGACTTTAGTGCCATGTTTTGATAACCCTAGCAGGGTGGATCCACCTGAGTGTGCTTTTTCACACTCTTTAATTCTGGAAGCAGTTTGCATTTGGAATTGAAAAAGTTACAGTACCATTCTTCAATTACTTAGTTAGGTTTACCTCTTTCTACAGCATTTCTTTGTTTTTGTTCCCCTTCAAGTACAAGATCTTGAACAGAATCTGATCTCAGCTGTCTAAATTATATCCTTTTGTTTTCTCCCAGAGAAGAACCATTTAGGTTTAAAACAAGTTTTACTAATTAAAAAATATAATACTTGTGGATTACTAAAAACATCAGATTTAGGAATGTATAAAAAGAAAGTCATAATTCTGTTCAATTTTCATTCATCTATTTAATATTTCGTGGGTATTTACTAATGGTGGAAATTTTTTTGGATACTAGGAATATAGCAGTTAAAGCTAACAGAAGTGATAAAAAAGTGATTTTTTTTTAAACTAATGTACACATTTAAAGCTATAAAATTCCCTTTAAGCAACTGCTTTAGCTTCATCCCTCAAATTTTGATGTTTTCTTTGTTATTTCTTCAAAATAAGTTTTGATTTCTATTGTGATTTTTATCTTTGATTCATGCATAACTTAGAAGTATGCTGTTTAATTTTCAAATATTTGGGATTTTCCTAGCTATCGTAATGTTACTGATTTCTAATTCCATTGTGCTTAGGCAATATATTCTATATGATTTCAGTTGTCTGAAATTTATTGTGACATGTTTGATGTCCTAACACATAGTCTGTTATGGTATCCATGAAAAATGGGTTCTCTCAACCCTGAAACTGTTAATATTTAGGATCAATAATTCTTTGTTGTGTGGTGCTGCCCTGGGTAATTGTAGGATATTTAACAGCATTCTGGCTTCTACCTACTGGATGTCAGAAGCATCCCCTAGGATGTGACTACAGTAAATATCTGCAGACATTGTGAAATGTGCCCAGGAAGGCAAAGTTTCCCTGGTGAGAACCACTGAGTTGAAAGGAATGTATACTTTGTAATTGTTGGGTATAGTGTTCTATAATTGCCATTTGGTTTTGATTGTAATTCAGAACTTCTTTGCCTTTCTTGATTTTTTTTCCCCCTAGTATTTTTTTTTAATCAGTGATAAAGAAAGCAGTGTTAAATCTAACTATGTTTGTGGGGCTATCTTATTTCTCTTTCAAATTCTGTCAGTTTCTTTCCATGATTTTTTTACTTTTTAAAAACATCTTTATTGAGATATAGTTTATGTACTGTAAAAGTTATCCTGTGATTTCTTTTAATAATATACTGAGTTGTCAACTATTATCATAATCTAGTTTAAAAACATTTCCATGATTCCAGTAAGATCCTATGTATCTGGGAGTTAATTTCTGTTGTGAGTCCTGGACCGCTACTAATTACTTTCTGTCTTTAGGTATTTGCCTTTTCTAGACATTTCATATCACATGAATCATGCAACATGTATGGATGGCCTTTGTGTCTGATTTTTTTAACTTAACGTATTTTCAAAGTTCATTTGTGTTGTATGTGTCAATAATTCAGTTCTCTCTTTTTTTTATGGAATGCTTCACAAATTTGGGTGTCATTCCTGCAAAGAGATAATTCATGCTAATCTTCTCTGTATCATTCCACTTTTAGTATATGTGTTATCAAAGTGAGCACAGTTCATTCCTTTTTATTGGTGAATAGTATTCCAGCTTCATGTATTTTTAAGGCTCTGTCATGAAAGGCAGCCACATATTTTTTTCTAGTAAACTCACCTAATTGTTCAGAGACACCTTCTTATGTTTCATTATAATTTTATATAAAATCTATTTTATCTGATATAAATATAGCAGTCTGAATTCATACTTATGACAACTTCGCATTGTGTATCTTTTTCCATTCACTTACTTTCACTCTGTCTTTATATTAAAGCATAGTTTCTGTGAACAACATATAAAACAGGTCTTTTTAAAAAATATATTTTGAAATTTTTTTTTCTTGAAACATTTGTTATATTCTTGTATAATGTAATTTTTGAAATGTTTGTATTGGGGCTCCCATTTTGTTTGCTTTTTATTCCCCCATTAGTTTCTTGTTATCCTTTCTGCCTTTTTTGGTGGGGATTGAAATATGTATTAATACATGTGTTTTTTTACAATTCCACTTTAATTTTCCTCAAAGTATATCTTTGTGTGTTTTTTAGTGGTTGCTCTAGAGATTACGGTATACATTTTCACTTTCCAAGGTCTGCTTATGATTGATAATTTTGCTGTTTCACATGAGATATAGAAAACTTATAACTATATGGGTGGATGTTCCTTCTCTGCCACCCACCTTGTGTGTTATATATGTTTATTTACTTATAAATGCCACTGATCAATACCATTAAGTACATTCTTGATGCTTTTCTTTTTTTCTTGAGGATCTGAATTTCCATCTGGTGTCACTTTAACCTCTTGTGTGCAGATCTGATTATAATGAAGCTTCATTTTGTCTTTATTCTTGAAGGATATATTTATGAAATCTAAAAATACTGCATTAGTCGTCATCCTTTTTCAGCACATTAAAGATTATCCCACTGTTTCCTGACCTCCATAGTTCCTGGTGAAAGGTTAGCTTCCAGCTTTATCATCTTTGTGTGTGTAATGTGCCATTTTTCTCTAGCTGTTAAGATTTACTTTTTACCTTTGATTTTCAGCAGTTTGTCTATGATGTGCCCTGGCTAATCTTTGTATTAACCCTGCTTGAATAGTAAATCTATAAACGAATGTCTTTTTAGGTTATATTCAGTCATTATTTTCCAAATAGTTTTTCTGTCCTATTCTTTCTTCTTCTGGACCTCCAATTATGTGTACAATATTAACTAACATGTCCCTGAAAATTATCTGACAGTTTTCTGAGAATCTGTTTTTATTTCAATCTTTTTTCTTTGTTGTTCTCATTGGATAATTTTCTTTATTTTTTTTTTAAAGATTTATTTATTTATGCATACAAGAACTGGGGTACAGGCCAGAGGTGTGCGGGGTGAGAGGATTCACCAGAGACAGAGTGGGGAACAGAACAGGCGGATTTACTGAAATACACTGCTGAGAGGAGCAGTGGGCGAGACAGGAGAGGTCTGCTGTGTCATGTGGGTTGCTCTCAGCCGGGGGTCAAACTCGTGCTGCAGTAGCTGCAGATAGCTTCATAGGTTGCACCTTAACCCCTTGCGCCACCAGGGAGGCCCATCATTGGATAATTTTCATTGATCTGGCTTCAAATTCTTTTGTTCTCCCCTCTGTCATCTCCACTTCTTAAGTCCATCCTGTTTATTAATTTTTCAGTCCTGAAATTCCCATTTGATCCATTTTTATTGTTTCAATTCCTCTGCTGAGATTTTATTTTTATCTTTTGATTTATTTTTCTTTACCAAAGATAATTTATAATAGTTTCTTTAAAATTCTGTCTGGTAATTCCAATACCTGGTCATCCCAGGATTAGTCTCAGTTGTTTTATTTTACAAATGTCTTCCATTTTCTCGGTTCTTCATTTAGTATAATTTGGGATCTTATCTGGGACATTGAGAATGTTAAGTTTCAGAGACTGTTATTTTTCTTTAATGCATATTGAATTTCTTTAGTTTCAGAAGGTGCTTAACTTGGTTCAACTCAAACTAATAGCTTTCTTAGACAGCAACTTGAATCTTGGGTCAGCCTTCTCATCTCCAGCTGAGTTGCTGGTCATGATCTCTGTGTCTGTGTGATTCAGGGGTCAGCAGAAGATGTAGGCAGACAGCATTGGGCTTGGCGGGAGCTGCTTAGTGAGAATAGCTTTCCTCCATGGGTCTCCTATCTTTTTCCCAGGATCAGTGGACTAGCCTGGGCTTCTGTTTCTCATGGCAGTGACAGACATGCAAGAGAGAAATTTCACAAGTAATTGTTCAAGCTCTGTTTGTAACATGTCTTCTATTATAGTGTGTTCTAACACTTGCAAAGCAAGTCACATGGCTGAACTCAGAGTCAAGGGTGGGAAACATACTTATTGGTCCATGAAGTTATATGTCTGGCAAAGAAGCTGGTATAGGCAATGGTGAAGATTTTGGATCTTTCATGCATTCTACTGTAGCTGTAATAAGCTTAAATAAATGCGATTAAAAAATTCAAACAGTGTGATAGTGATAAGGATATATTATATGTGTATACAAATATATACATGCCCTTTTATGCAAGATTGGATTTAACATGTCACATATATAATTGTATAGCCTACTTTTCATTTACTATCATGCCTACAATGTAGTAAAACCATCTGTAGCTTTTTGGCCACATTAGGTCATTTAAAATTTTTTACCTGTCTGCAGTTTATTGAGTGCTTATATCTTAAAGCACTTTACTTTTATTTCATCCTTTCAACAAGCTTATGAAATAAATACTGTCACTTTTCCTACTTCACAGATGAAACTGAGGTTCAGAGAGGCCAAGTAACTGGTCTAAAGTCATCTGCTTTCTAAGTAGCAGAGGCCAGGTATGCATATTCTGTGCCTGGTCATGAAAGTAAAACATTTGTGTCCACATCTCTGAACGTTCCTTCAGATAATTTCCTTGCAGTGGAATATTGGGTCCCAGGGCAGCTGTAATACTTAGGGAAGTGTTTGTGTCCTCTTGCTGCCTGTTGACTGAGCGCTCATAGTTGTTGCTGAGCTAGTTCATCCCTTCCAGTCCAAGGCAGAAAACCCCAGGCTTGCCAGTGAAGCCCCAGAATTTAAGCCCTTCGTATTCTGTGAGCTTTGAAAAGTACAACTCCCAGAATTGGTGTAGTATGAGCTGTGGAAGGCTAAGAAACAGCTGGGGCTGGGCTGAAGTGTGAGCCAAGGCTCCAGAAGGCACAGAGTTGTGCCAATGATGACCCCTTCCTTGGCCATAGAATAGCCTGTGTGTGGTCACTGTGACTGTCTTCTGTCTCGCAGTGGACTCTTGGCCCCACTCACAATTTGAATACCTACTCACAGGAGTGAGGGGCTGATTTTAAGGGACTGGCGGAAAGCGTGAACCACTTAATGAAAAGGTGATAATCTGATAGTAGGCGTTCTACATCTCGTCCTTTTTCCATTTCCATTTTTATCATTCTGCCACTCTGGACTCTTTGGATGTCTGTCAGTACTTCCTACTTAGAATCAGTGGGGAGATGAATGGAGAGGAATAGATCAGGTTGAGTTTTAATTATTGAAAGTCCTGGACCAAAGCAGGAATAGAGATAAGGTTAAATTGAGAGTTTGGGATTTCCTCTAGATTGGGCTTTTTTTAGGTAGCTCTCACTGCTGAGGAGTAGGCTAAACAACACATGACATTTACTGCAGTTATGGCTTTTGGTTACTTATAAATATTCCGAATTTTATCTGCTGTGTCTATTAAGTATTTTGTGCCAAATGCTTTTTTTTCTTCTTCTTCTTCTTTTTTTTTTTTTTTTTGCTTCAGGTTAGTAGCAAAGATGAAGATTTTCTCGACCTTTCTGTCGATGTGGAGCAGAATACATCTATTACTCACTGTCTAAGGTAATCTAGTAAATTCTGACTGCCCTGAGCTTTGGATCAGGCTAGGAAATAAGTGGGGGAAAAAATAAAAAATCCTGTATTTCCTCAGGAGATAATCTCCCTTTATGTTAAGCGAAAGTAATCCTATTAATCTATTCTTCTTACCCAAGAGAGATTAAAAATAAGTATATGTGGTTTGGAGAAGAAGTCATTAGTTATTAAGTTTAAAAATAAGGTTTTTTTTTTAAGATTTATTTATTTATACAAGCACTGGGTACAGTCAGAAGCGCGGGAGGGTGAAAGAATTCACCAGAGCCAGAGCGGGGAGCAGAGCAGGCAGAAGGACCGAAGTACACTGCTGAGGGGAGCAGCGGGCGGCAGGAGAGGTCTGCGCGCCATGTGGGACCCTTGCCCAGAGGCTGGGTATCGAACCAGCGCTGCAGAGGCTGCAAGCAGCTTCGCAGCCCAGCGCTCAACTGCTGCGCCACCGGGGAGGCCCTAAAAATAAGTTTAATGTTTAATATAAATCTATACTTTTGCTTACATGATCAAAAGTGTAACACACACACACACAATCATACAATTTAAGTGAGTAAATGATATGTACCAGTACTTTCTTTTTCTAAACTAATCTGTTATTTTAAAATTAGGCAGTGAGCTGATGTCCAATGAAGGGTTGCCTTTCCCTCCATTTTCAGCATTCTCTGGAGGTCATAGAGAGAAAGACGATCCCCCTTGTTAGGGTTGAGGGGATGGAACATTACTGTGTTATGTGTTGACTTGTATAGTGAACTGTGTTCCAAGTTGATATGAAGACATGATTCTCCTTCTGCCTCCTCACTTCTCCCACCAGGAGGTCGGGAGTGATTCTTAGGTGGCCCAGTCTTGTTCCTCACCCTGGGGTGAAGGCAGCACTGTCCTCTGCTCTCTCAGCACTTACATTCTGGTGAGAATTAGAGGCAATGATCAGGGCTTTGAAGGACAGTTGACAGGGTCAGGAGAGTGCCTCATAGTGGGGATGTTGTTATAGCCAAGTGGTTAGTCAGGCATTCCTGCCACTGTATAGGTTACCCCAGCTCAGACATATTTTATAGGGTCATAACAAAGCACTGTTGATTTTTATTAGTAGGAATCAGGGTGACAAAATTGTCCTTCAAGAATTCATGTTACTGAGCACCTTTTAGAAGAATAGATTAAAGGGACATGCTGTGGTGCTTGACTGCTAGGAAATTATCTTTCAGGGCAAAGGCACCAGCACCAGCGTTGAAAGGCTGCTTGGTTCATCTGTGTGCCATGCATGTGTGAGCCGGGGGGGCAGGTGGCTAACTGCCCCAATGTCTTTCTAGGAGCTGGAGCCCTCCCTCTCACAGCTCTGTGCTGATAGCTACCTCAGCACTTCCTGGGGACAGGCACATCAGTCCTTATGCCCAAATGTGTTAGGTCCAGGTGTCTAGAACAAGTTGATTATGTCTTTGTTTGCAAAGTGTTTTTGTAGGCTCAATGGCCCCTTTTGTTTGTGAATAGTTCAGCTATGGCATAGGTTCTTAATATTCCTGTGAAAAGAAGAGCCAGTTTTAATCCTTTTATGATCACAGGGAGTAAAAAAGATTGTGCCAACGTTAGCCACGGGGAATGAGAAGAACTTATTCCTTGCCACTCCCCTTCCTGAGTGAGGGAGTTAGAAGGAATTTGGAGTTAGGAAGTTGACAGCTTCCCTTTCCCTTCCAGGGAATTCCTGAGCTGTTAGGGCAAATGATAGTAGCAGGAGCTTTGAGGCCAACCTGATAAAGGATTAACTGGTTATTTGGGGTACCCTGTTATAAAGAGATTTATGTTTCCCTTTTTTTCCCCCTGGAGAAATGATGTATATCTCCGTGTCTATATGTGTAGGTACATAGGCCATGCACCTATTGAAGGCAGGCTTGTGGCATATGGAATATGAAAACTGGGATGGGTGAGCGTGAAAGAGCTGCAGAATGTCTTTTCAACACGAACTTCTCATCTGATTGGACCATCGAGGCTGGTGCTCCTGAAGACTGCCCCACCCCCATTTTACATCACTCTTAAACTGGATCTTGACTGCCTAGCTCTACCCGCCCTCACATATGCCTGGGATCTCATCTCCCCAGTAGAAAAGGAAGCCTGCCAGGTGTTGTCATTCACTCCTGAGAATTCTGTGGTGGGGGTGGCAGCTTTCCAGCTCGTCCCAAAAGAAGGAAGTGCAGAGAAAGACCCAGGGAATAAATGATGCCAGCTGGTTCATTAGCTTTTCCTAGCTGAGACAAAAGAGATGGAATGATCAAGATCTTGTCTCCTTTCATGGTTTAATTTGGCTGACTTTCTTGGGTTTGTTTTTAAAATTAGAATTATGAATTTCCTTCCTTAACATAAGGTCTCTACATATCTTTTCTGAGGGGATGTTTTTAAATTTCATTTGCTTTGATGACTCTGAAAGACAAAAATCAAGCTGGATTTGAATCTAAGATCTCAGCCACCTCCTTCTAGAAGGGCTTTTGGTGATCACTTACACTGTGGTTTTGCTGAACTTTTGTCCCAGAGAAATGATGATGTAAGTAGTGGTTAAGCAGGATACAGGTCTAGAGCCATTAAATCCACATTGTAGCTGAGCTGTAAGTTGATACTCACACCTAAGTACTGTGTCTTCGGCAAGGTAAGCCATCTGTATCACAGGAGGATACTGAGAATGTTTTTTTTCCTTTTGAAAGGTTCAAGGGTAGCCTCGGGCAAAAACTTAAAATACGTGAAGTTTCTGTTAATTATCCTTCCATGCCTTTTTGGTATTTTTTTGTCTTCTATTTCAATGCCTTAGTCCCTCCTTGTGGCTCCTTCACTGGCACTTACTTTATCCTCAAGGGCGCCATGTTCTGAAACTACTTTTCTCTCCCTCTGCCTGCCTTTTGTGTAAATTCCCGTTTTCCCAGTGCTGAGGTCAGCTCAGTGTTAGGAGGAAAGTGCTCTTTCATTCTCTAAAGCCTCTATTTTCAAAATTACTCTTTTACAAAAAAATTCCTCTTTACTTATTTTGGGAAACTTCTTTATTGGATTAAGTCCACTCACATCCATCCATTGTCCCATGCCTGTATATTAGTTTCTCTGACCTGTGCTTTGGTATTATCAGTATTCAAATTTTCCAGTGTCTGACACTTAAGTCTGTCTTGTGAATTTCCTTTTAAAAATCTTCTTTAATACTCTAATCCGTGATTTTCAAACTTTACTGTGTGTCAGAATCACCCAGGGAGGTTGGCAAAAGTAAAGGCCCATGTCATATTCAACCTCAGTCAGCTTGGGCCTTCCATTTTAATTTTCTGGGTGATTCTGATAACCAGCAAAGTTTGAGAATCACGGTTTTAGATTTTTACACTCAAACAGCTGTCTGTGGACTTAGCACCTTTGTTGGCCAGAAATGGAGACTCCGAAGAATGAAATCAGTGAGAATATGCATTTTGACGAGAGCTCCAGGTGATTCAAATGCATGTTTGTTAGTGATTGCACAGCTTTGGGAACTGTGGCTGTCAGACCAGGGAATGCACTGGAACCACCCTCTCAAACATTAATGTCTGGCTTCTACCTGGAGAGTGTCTGCTGTAACTGATTGGTAGAGGATTAAGCATTGAGATTGTTTTTAAAGTTTCTAAAGCTTTCCAGGTAAATCCAGTGAACACAGGCCTCTAGAAGAAAGTGTCCCCACATGTTGTGCCAGGTGAAGTAGGTTACAGGTATGTGTTGCGTCCTCCGCTCCTGGGAGGCTGGCCAGAGCCAGGAGCTGCCAGCTGTGGCTCCCACAGGTGCAGCCACATTGGTTAACCCCAGCTCCCTTCTCCCCTGGAGTCATTTTCTATGTGAGTCATAACATGAAAACTATCGGAAAGCATTGCATGAGAATTTTTTTCCCAGTCAATTTTTGAATTACCGTGTTGAGTGAAAAAGTTAAGATTTTAATCAAAAGTTTGTCAAATATAGGCATTAATTAACTTGGACATGATAGCTGTTATAATAGATAGCCTTCCTTTCTGGGCACATAATCTTTCTCCACTCTTTCAGTTTTTCTGGTATACATTTCCATAAGCTTTTATAGTTTCTCTTATAAAGGCAAGTATTTCTCTTGAGATCTCTTTCCATCTTTTGACCATATTATAGCATCTGGGACTATTTAAAGAGCTGCGGAAAGTTTTGTGCTTCCCCAACAGCTGCTCTGTGCTTTGGCAGTTAATCCCAGGTGTCGGAAAGACTCCTCTCCTGGCCCCTTCACTTTGTCTTTTTCTCTGAATATTCTCTCCGCCTTTGTTGCCTGCTTTTGTTCCAGCAACTGTACAGCCTTCAGCTGGCAGTCCTGCTCTCCCTCATCTTTTCCTGCTGGGGTCACCACCCCCTTTCACAAATGCAGGCTGATTTCCCAAGTCTCCACTCACAGACACCCTGAATTCACCACCCTGCTTCTCGCGGTGGTGGCTTCCGGCCAGCTGGGCAGGATGGTGGTTATTTATAACTTGGCTTTAAATTGGGCACTAACTTCTGCTATTTTCCTACCTATATGGGTTTACAAATAATTGGAAATTTTTTTTTTATTAAATAAGGGTGAATAGAAAATGTCCAGTTCCTTTGTCACTGCTGTATTTGCCTCGGTTGTTCTGACTTTTTAGCTGGACACAGAGGTTTGTCTGGGTAGTGTAGGGTAAGGTAAAAGGTATCAGGCTTTTCTGCCCTCCCGCCATTAGGATTGATGACAGAACCCTGCGGTCCTGAATGCATGCCTGACGGCGGGCACCTGGAGTGGGGTGTGGGCATGCGTAAGTGGGTACACCTGGGCTGAGAGCTTGGGCTTACAAGAGTGGCATCACAGGGATGCCAGCAGGAGGGAAGAGCGAGCAGAGCGACCAGAAGGAGAAAGAGCAAAAAGAGCAGAACAGCAGAGCGAAAGAACCAGCAGCAGAGAAGCAGAGGCCACGAGAGAAGGCCGGAGAGCCCAGTAAGAGTGAAGACTTGCTGGGGGCTGGGAGGCCTGCCAGCCTTCCGGCGCCCCAGCACCAGGACTCTCCTTACCCCATCTGCGTGGATCATAGAGATCCTGCTCCGTGCCTTCCCACCACGACAGTAGCCACACCAAGGATGTGAATCTTTGCTTTTTTAAGTTTCCCCATTCTGCCTGAATAATTCCTGTGCAGGCCAGGAAGAAATTTCATGTCAGTTATTCCATTGATGTGTCAGGGGGCATTCAGCTGAGGTGGAGCTGTATTACGTACTCAGTACTTGAAATCTGAAGGTTGAGTGAAATCACCTTCTCAGTTGTTGCCTTGCCTTCTCTTAAACCCTTCTAGCTCTTTCTCCTGTGCTGCCAGAAGAAGTATTTCTAAAAAGCACTTTGTCTGGCTGAGACCAGTCACTGAGACTCCGAGGGTCTGAGGCAGCATCTCGGGAACACTGCATCTCCACCCCATCTCCACATACCTGTGCTTCACATTCTCGCTGTCTGGATCCCTTGACTCTCATCCACCTGCCATACTTGCCCTCTTTTGAGAACCTGAGTTGCGCTGCTCCAGGTTCATTTTCCATTTCTCTTTGCTTCCCCTGGACTTTATGCACATGCTCTGCTTCATTTGTTCAGACAAGAAATGTGTTGAGTGTTTGAGTGCGCTTCTCGCTCAGGCGGGCCTGTGCTTGGTGCTGGGGCACGGCAGGGGGTGAGACAGGTCTCAGCCTTCATGGAGGGGAGGCAAGACTTCCAATAAGTGGGATGATTTCAGTTAGGAATAAGTGCTCGGAAGGAAATGAGACAGGTATGGGAAAGAGGCTGGGTGGGTTCAAGAGAGTGACCAGGGAAACCCTCTGTGAAGAGATGACCTTTAGGCTGAGCTCGAAACAAGTGTAGCCAGCCATGGAGGCATCTGGAAAGGAGCTGCCAATGTGAAGAAAATAGCAGGCCTTCAGGAGGGAGGGGTGTGGGGAGAGAGGCTGGGACAGAGTGAAGGCAGCGGGTGGGAGGAGGAGGTTGGAGAATGCTCCTGACCTCAGGACTGGTGGTCTTGGCTAGCATTTGGGTTGTAGGCTTACCTGCATTGAGCAGCTATGTGGGGGCTTTAGGCTTTGCAAATGGCTTGTGTGAGACAGTTTGTTTACCCTGCACTGAGTGCTTGATGCTGTGAATTCATTTGTGTGGCTCTGTAAACTGTGGGCTGCTGGAGGGCAGGTGCTCACCGGGAATCCAGCACCCTGTCCAGAGTGTGTCCCTAGATGTTCGGGGATTTAATGAGTGGACGATCTGTGTTTCCTTTGGATAAGCTCAGTTGAAGCAGTTGAGTCTCTAATGCCATGTAAATAACATTTTCCATTTAATAAAATCTGATCATTTTGGTGTTAGGACACTCCTTATGAAGAAGGAAATGTCACAGACATTTTCAAGACTCTGAGGGTATTATTATATCCTGGATGTTCTTTTCAGCCTGGGAAGCAATACCACAGGAATGTTAAATAGAATCTCAATGACCAGAAAAGAATGAAAAGCCATGACAGTTAAAAAATGAAAACTATAAGTAGTACAGAAAAACATCATGAGGAAGTGAATACGGCTATAACAAACTCAATGGCATTTGCTCTCAAAAGAAATCAGGCCAAAGTTCTTATCTTGCGGGGTGTGAGAAGGCGGGAGCAGGGGCTTGGTCGGAGGCAATCATGTGTTGATAATTTGGGACTTTATTAGTTTTCTATAAGAGCACTTGTAATTGCTTTAAATCTTACTGTCTTTATTTTTGTGCTATTTGAAAAGCTGGTCCACCTGAGACATACTGCTTTTCATTAACTGCTCAATAACGTCATCTTGCCTTTTATGTGGTTGCCTTTTTTTGGACCCAACTTTTCTAGTGTCATGTTGAGTTTTTCTTTTTTGCTGTGGTTAGTATTTTCTGCCATCATTTTCAGTCTTCACTTTACTGGTATTCTCTGTTAAACTCTGAGATTTTACTGAAGCCTTTGGAAGCCCTGATTTCTTATTTACTTGTGCCCCATTAAATAAAACCACACTTGAAAATCTCTTGCGGTGAAATCACAGCCCCATCCACTAGACGCGCTGTAATGGCCGTGTGGTACCCACTCATATGAAGGATCTGTTGTCATTTCTTCTTTCCCCACATCATAAACTGAGCCTATCTACAGGTAATAGAGGGTTTCCAATAGGGTATAGCAAGAACATTTTGGACTTTTTAAAAGATGAAAATATTTTCCTCTGCAGAGACTTCAGCAACACAGAAACTCTGTGTAGTGAACAGAAATATTATTGTGAAACCTGCTGCAGCAAACAGGAGGCCCAGAAAAGGTGCGTATACGCTCATCTGGCTTTGTGTGTTGAGAAACAACCAGGCCTTAATGCCCGGCAGATCTGTTTTTTTTTAAATTCACTCCATTATTTATTTATTTATTTATGCATGCATGCAAGTGCTGGGTACAGTCAGAAGCACAGGAGGGTAAGAGAATTCACCAGAGCCAGAGCAGTGAACAGAACAGGCAGACTGACAAAGTACACTGCTGAGGGGAGCAGTGGACGGCAGGAGAGGTCTACGCGCCATGTGGGACCCTCACCCAGCGGCCAGGGATCGAACTGGCATTGCAGAGGCTGCGGGCAGCTTCACAACCCAGCGCTCAACTGCTGCGCCACCGGGGAGGCCCTAATTCACTCTATTTTTAATGATAAAATTTTTTTATTGACATAACATTGTATTATAGCATCATGTCAATTTCAGTCTGTCAACACGGTGTGAACTGTGTTAAGTTCATCACTCAAAGTTCAGTTCTGCCCTTTACTGGACAGTTGACACCTTTTACCTGATTTTACCCACCTCACGTGGATAAATTGACGCCTTTTACCTGATTTTACCCCCATCCCCTTCTGGTAACCACTGATTTGGTCTTAAAGCCAAAAAGGTGATTTTTGTCTTATTTAGTTCAATTGTTTGGTGTCTCTATGTACCACAAAGGCGTGAAATCATAGGGTGCTTGTCTTTCTCCATATGACTTATTTCACCAAGCGCGACCCCCTCTAGGCCTATCCACATTGTTGCAAATGGCATATTTCATTTTTATTTGTTATACAGAGCTGAATAGTATTCCATTGTGTATATACACCACATCTTTATCCATTCATCAACCAGTGGGTACTTAGGTTATTTCCAGTTTTTGGCTATTTTAATGTGCTGCAATAAACTTGGGCATACATACATCTCTTCAAATTAGTGTTTGTATCTTTTTCAGTGAGCACCCAGAGGTGGGATAAATGGTTCATATGAAATTTCTATTTTTAATTTTTTGAGGAATTTCCACACTGCCTTCCATTGTGACTATACCAGTTTACATTCCCACCAGTAGTGTACAAGAGTTCGCTTCTCTCCACATCCTCCCCCACACTTGTTTCTTGTCTTTGGATAATAGCTGTTCTCACAGATGTGAAGTGACATCTCTATGGTTTCAATTTTCATTTTCCTAATAATAACAGATGACGAACAACTTTCCATGTATATGTCTTCTTTGGAGAAAGTGTCTGTTCAGAGCACCTGCCCATTTTTAATAGGGTGGTTTTTTGCTAAGTTTTAGTTCTTTATATTTTTGGATATTAACCCCTTGTCAGATTATGATGGCAAATATGGTCCCTAATTAGCAGGGAGGACAGATCTGATTTTGAATCCCACTTCCATGTGCATATAGCCATGTCACTTTGGGGAGTCAGATACCTTCCTCAAGGTAAAACTAGGAGAGTTGTCCATTTGTCTGATTATGTGCACATTTGTTCATTCCTTCATTCCACAGTACTTACTGAGTGTTACTCTATACCAGATAGTATACTGAGAAAAACAAGTAGTGATCAAATACAATTGCTGTCCTTTTGGGATTTAAAGACAAATTACAAAAAGGTCTTGGCATAATACATAACTCATACTAGACATTCAGTAATATTGTTAGTATTGCCTGAGTATTGGTACTTCTTTTCTGGAGACATAAGTTTAAAATATTCATCGTTTCATAAGGAATCATGAGAAAATCAGTAGCACAGTGGCGGTAGATGGATAGGTAATAAAGTCATCACATTCTGAATTGAGATGGGGGCCTAAGGCTGCCCATCTTTTTATCAGCACTAGCCATGTACAGCTCTTGGACTATCTTAAATATCCAGTGATTCCCTGTTATCCAACCCCAGAAACCAAGAAACTTGATACTTTAATCACAGTGCAGTCTTACTGTGAGTTAAATGCACCCTGACAAGAGTCGTGGAACATTCAAGGTAACTCACAGACGCTCATTACTGCTGTCTGCAGACCTTAGGCATCTACAGTTGAGGTTGGTATCATTTCTCTGACCAACCTCCCAGCCTTTCACCTCTAGACCTGCACATCCCTCCCTGTGGCATCAAAACTTACAAAAGGTTAGTCGCTGTAGGAGATAGGCATTGCGGTGGGAGGTAGGTCTCTTCCATCACCTGTGCCTCCAGTCCTTACAATCTAAGTCCACCGATGGCCAGCTCGGTCTCCCTGTGTGGCCTGAGGGTGTTTTATACAGTAAAAAGCCTGGTAGATTCCATGTGTTAAGATGTGGTGTGTTCCTATAGCATTTAGGGTGCCCCATGAATCTTGTATTTCTGCTGATGTTATTTTGATTGTTTTTATGAACAGGGTTTTACCTCTGATTTTGGAGTAAACTCTCCTAAATGTTGTTCTTTTCAAATAATATGCACAGAGAATGTGGACAAGCTGAGCAGCATTGATACTCAAAGGACATTCAGGACATTCCTAGAATGGGGGTCCTGGGTGGTAATTGGAGACCCTCTATTCTAGCAGAGTTATCCACATTATCTGGAGTCCTTGTGATTTATGGAATATTGTTAACAGTGATCTAGTGAAAAGAGCTTTCTGTGTTGATGTAAGTTTGGGAAAAGCTGCATCAAACAAAAGAGAACACTTCCTTTACTGTGGGATTTCTCAGATAAGTATGTTAATGTGTCGTGAGGAGCTTCAGAAAACAAAGCAGTGTTCTCAAAACATAACCACAGAAACGCCACACCTACTAACACATCCAGTGCTCCACTGAACCCAGTTTAGGATATATATCTCTAAGCCAACCCCTGCATTTTATAAATGAGGAAACTGCCAGAGAAGGAAATGACTTGCCCAAGAGCACACGAGTAAGAAGTGAGAGTGAGCCTCCTGGGCTTCCTGATGGCCAGCAGTGCCTTGTCTGGACATCCTCGCAGGTCCTCAGAACCTGTGGGTCCAGATCCCATCTGCTTGTTCTCCTTCCAACTTCTTTTCTCAAAAGCTCCCACCTCTCTTCTCCATTATCTCAGGATTGTCCGAACACCAGTCCTTCTTGGGAGGCAGAGGACATGGCAGAAAGCAATTGTATAGCATCTTTTTACTGGCATAAATATTCTGGGATGTCTCCTTTGACTGGAGACTCACTGTTGCATTTGTGTCTGGCTGGCTTGCTCCAGTTAGCTGAAGATAAAGAATAAGTCAGCTCTACATAAGTGAACATACTTTTATTCTCAAGAGTGGTGGTTTATTTGTTAGACTCTTCCTGCTCTTCACTTGTGCAGGCAACAGTATTTGTTCTTCTGCAGGCAACAGTATTTGTTCTTCTGCTCACAGGTGTGGTTCTACTGATTTTCTATTTCATGGTTCCTTAGGATGAGAGTAAAAAAGCTGCCCATGATTTTGGCCCTGCACCTAAAGCGATTCAAGTACATGGAGCAGCTCCACAGGTACACCAAGCTCTCTTACCGGGTGGTCTTCCCGCTGGAACTCCGGCTCTTCAACACCTCCAGCGATGCAGTGAACCTGGACCGCATGTACGACCTGGTTGCAGTGGTGGTTCATTGTGGCAGGTAAGGGGGGTGGGGGGCAGGTGCTTAGGAGAAGCGTGAAGGTTGCCCTAGTGCTCAAAAAGACCTAGTTGTATGCTTCCTGGGCCATGAGACTCCATAATAACAGTGCTTTTGGAAATCTCTTCCAAGCTCTTGTTCATTTATCATCTCAAAAGTAAATGCAAACACACCTACCTCCACACATAAAATACATTCTATAATGATAATCAGAATGCTCTGTCATAAGGTAAATAATTTAATAAATCTGCATTGATTAGAGATGAAACTTAGGAGGAATTTGAAATGACATGGAGAATTAAATGCTAATGCTATGATTTTACTTTTCAAAAAGCTAGGTCACATATAGAGTGAGATCTCCAGAGTATTTTAAGGCTTGTGACTAGAGAAGAGAAGCAGTAGATCAATTTAAGAATTTTTTTGGCATTTCAAGTGATTAAAAATATGCTCTAAAATATTCTTTATGTAATTTTCCCTCTTTCCCCAACACTGTAGTAAGCACACAGTTAGAAGGGAGAGAGAGAAGAACCCGCGACATTATGAGGAAGCATTTTGTTGAAAATCCTTTGAGCAAATACTTTTGTTCCATTATTTGTAATAAGCATGGAAAGTGCATGGCACCTTCACCTGGTGGTTCCCCTTCGCTCCACTGGACGGGGCTTGTCCTGTGTGCAGCAGATGCAGCCTCCCTGCCCCCCCCCTCAACCCCACCGGTTCTAGATGGGGACGTGTTGCAAAGCCGGAGCCTTCCTCTGCTTGCCAGGAGGGATTGTGAGGATGTGAGGTTCCAGCATAGGGAGGGATTAAATTCTCCCCCTGAGCTGGACTGGATGCTATCTGAAACTGTAACTTTACATCTGAAGCACCTCATATTTTCACCCATGCAGAGTTACATTAGGCCACTGGATATTTTCTTAACATTCTCAATAGGATTTATTTCTTGGCCAGTTAAAAACCAGTGTTTTCCCTGGAGATAGTTCTAACAGTAAGTCTTTTAATGGCACAGGGTTCAGTGATGGGGAAATTAGCTGTGCACACAGACCCTTGTGGCAGGAGTGGAAGGGGGTCTTGGCAGGCAGCGGCCTGGTACCTGGGGTCATGCAGGCCGTGATGGACAGAGAGGCAGTGTGGACAGATGACAGGGAAACGGAGCACTCTGATTTGTGGGTATGCACTAGTTTTCAGTGTGGTTCTCTGATCGCTGGAAGCGCTGGTGTGGGCAGGGGCTGAGACCCATTTAGGGAAAGTAGGGGATGAGTAGGATGTTGGATTCTGTACCAAAATTGGGGGCTCCAAGACCCAAGCAGCCCCGCAGTAAGGATGATTTGTTGCCGAGGCACGCATGCCACTAACTAGGATTCTTTAGATTCCTCCCTGCCAGAGGTAGGATTGTTCTTAGTATACAGAACACGCCTGGCCTGTGTTTGGGGATCAGGAGGCTCAACTGGAAGCATGGAGGCTGGGGAGCTGAGCCCTTCCCCTCCAGGCCATGGCTGCAGCAAGTGCACAGCCTCATTCGTTGATTTCCATGACAGGTGCTTTTTGAACCCTTGTTTCCTGGGTTTCATGCCACCACCTGAAGGTACAGTAGTGGACAAGGTACACAGGGCCTGCCATCTGGAAGCTGAGGATCTAGTGGGAGACACAGACAAGTGAAAATACCAGCCAGTCACCACCCAGAACATACAGGCCACTGCAAAATAAATTACAGTTTTGATGAGTGCTGTGAGAAGTGAGCAGGGCAACGTTGGGTGGGGGTGGTGCATCTTCAAGTAAAATGAGCCACAAAGAGGTGTCTACTCAGGTGACATTTGAGCTGACACCCCAAGGATGAAATGGACCAAGAATGCAGACTTTGGGGTGGGATCATTTCAGGCAGAGTTGCAGCTGGTGCAGAGCCCACGGTGTGAAGGGTGATGTGTGTCCAGAGAGGAGGCTAGTGAGCCGAGCGCACAGGGAGGGCAACGTGTGTGTGGGTGAGGTTGCCGACAGGCAGGAACAGGTCTCATGGGTCATCTGTGTTTGAAGAAAGCAAACTGAGAAATCCAGCCTTGCAGTTTTAATGGTACATTGAAAAATACAGAACAAATGCTCACGAGGGTAACACTATAGGATGCACCCCCCTCAGCTGGACAAATGTAACAGTTCAGTTATTTTCCCCACATTGCAGAATATATACCTTTTTATTTTAGCACGGATATTCTGCATTATGGTTGAACAGCTTTCTGAAACTTGAATCATATCAGTTGCTCTTTAAAATTCCTCAGAATCTCTCTGGCTTCCAAACAGTTCAAAATTTTAACCATGACACCCCAATCCCCCCCACCTCCAGCCCCCATCCCCCTGACCCACCAGGGGGCTCCTTTGCAGTTCAGCGAACATGCCAAGGCTTCCTCCCCCGCTGTCCTCCCCAGACCTTGGCATCTGCTCTCCCTGTTCCTAGACTTCCCTCATATAGTCACAGACTCCCCCACACTTCGTCGCCCAAATGATCAGACAGGCCTCTTTCACCACTGCGTGGAATAGTCCCTTCCCTCCATCCGCTGCGCGGACGCTGCTTTGTTCTTCACGGCACTCAGTACTCCTCGAGCATTATTTGTGTTTTCGGTCAGTTATTGCCGCTCTGACCCCAGCCCCGTGAAAGTGGGGACTTGGTTTGTCCTCTACTTTTCTGACAGCCAGAGTAGAGTCTGGCACAGAGCAGGCAGACGATTGATAGTCGCCGAATTTGTATGTCTGTTTTCCCCACCGGATTGTAAGTCCACAGAAGGCAGATGTCTTCTTCATCCTCAGGCCCAGCGTTGCTCCCCATCTGGTGTTCCCCCATAGCCTTGTGGCTGCACCAGTGTGGACAGAGATACAAGCGGGGAGTGTTTCCTTCCCCTATTTTTTCAAAGTGAATCAATGTGGAGGTTTATAAGGAACTGAATGTTAACTTGGTAACTTTCTTTTGTTTGTTCTTTTCCAGTGGTCCTAACCGCGGGCATTATATTACCATTGTGAAAAGTCATGGCTTCTGGCTTTTGTTTGATGATGACATTGTAGAGGTTGGTATGCAGATTATTCTAGGGTAGGGATAGGGCACAGTCGGGGTGTGTGTGTGTGCGTGTGCGTACGTACGTGTGTGCTTGCATGCACATTTCATAAAACAGGCCATTTTCCCAATAGTCTGACTTAAAAAATTTATATTCCACCAAAATGAAATTCTGCATTTTCCCTGGTGAGAGCGGTGTGATGCAATTGGAGACTCATTCAGTTCACTGATCAGCCATAGACATGGGGTCTCTGTGTCACCCTAAGTCCCATTTAATGTAAGTCCTGCTTCCTACCAGGACTTCACTGGTACAGACCAAATAAACTTCAAAGTCGCATTAGGATTCTTTCATTAAACCAAAATTTTCTTGTATTGATAGTTTTTAAAAATGTTTTTCAGTCTGTTGGGCCTGAAAATCTTTATATTATATACTAGAACATCCTATTTGTTGATTTTGTTGTAAAGTAATATTAGCTCAAGTGAATTCCATACTCAGAAACTTAGTTTGTTTTAGCTCACGAGGGTAACACTATAGGGAATGAACTCTGAAGTGCACAGTTGGTCCCAGTGAATTAAGGTTATTCCCAAGATCCCCCAACTTAACATTTGAGAGACAGAAGCCCTGGCTGCTTCAAAGAAGGCTCACATATGGTTGCTAATAGATTTCCTCCTTTCTCAGTGATTTGCAATTTATATAATAATGATATCCCTCTGTCAAGTCTATTGAAAATCTCCACTTGGGGCTGTATAACAGTGTTTTACAACTGCATTTTCTTGTGTATTCTGTTAGTTTTTCTTCCCTTCTCCCAGTAATTATGTTAAACAGTTGTATTCTTTCTCTTTTATTGCAGAAAATAGATGCCCAAGCTATTGAAGAATTCTATGGCCTGACATCAGATATATCAAAAAATTCAGAATCTGGATATATTTTATTCTATCAGTCAAGAGAATAACTTAAAGAACTGTGGGACTAATTCAAGTGGGGGAAATGTTCAGAGCACTGTTACCTGGTTTCCCTGCAGACCGCCTTCTTCCCCAGCGGCCCACGAACGGTATTACTCCGAGTCCCAGTGGTCTGGCTGTGTTGACTGTCTCCCTGTGTTTTTCTACATGCAGCACTACTTGTGGTTTATTTTAGTCTGAGGTAGAGTTAACTGCAATCAGATTGTAGTAAGATTTATATGAATAACAGTTGCTAATTTTAGGATTGGGTAAATGCTGTGCCACTGGCTGTATCTGGCTGAATTAGAATGACTTTTCCTAGGAATGTCTGCAGTCTTGTTTTGGGTCTTTGCTTAACTTCCTAAATGGCTTCCCGAGTCTCCTTTCAATGCATTCCCTTAATTTGTTCCTGGAAACATTGTTACCCATTTTTAGCTTTCCTGCCTCTTTCTGACAGGAAGATGGAAGAATTGGGTAGATGTTCAACTTTTAGGGCTGCAACTATAGCTTTAAGTTTGTGCAAGTGAAAATGTTTAAACGTGGGTAACCTCGATACTAAAACCATCCTCCATGTGGAGCAGGGTGAAGAGAAGCTGTTCATGGTGGCTGGCGTCTGCACCGGGCTGTGCCTTCCTAGCTGTTAGAATTGCAGGAGCTAAGAAGGTGTGGGGCTCCCCGCAGGCACAGACAAGAGGAGGAAGCTTTAGTGCACAGCGAAAAGTTACTTTTCTTATCTTTCTACCAAAACCAAGTTTCAGGAAAATAACTCTATGCTGTCTGTTTTTAGTGATACTTTTCTTCTGTAGGGTCGTGTGAGTTGTATTTATCCTTTATCTGGCACTGCTAAGCTTTCCAAGGTGTCTTTCCAGTCCTGCTGGTGTTTGGCAGTCTGTGGTTGCAGGCCTAAGACACCACGCGGCCACCTCTGGCATAGCTCTCCTTAGCTGGTCAGCGCCAACATCCTTCTTTATCAGGAATAATGAAGGCACTGCGCCTTTACCACCATCAGCTGCATTGTACAACTGTTCACTTTTTAACATTTCAGTTTGTTTACCGAGGCACTGGCAAGGCCCAGAGCTGATATGGAACCTTCTCTAGAGGGAATATTGGAGTTAGCTGGGTAAGAAGGTGGCTCACAGGAAGTGTCAGTGGGCAGGTGGAGGGATAAACAAAATGGCGGCATTTCTTTGGCTCAGACTCCTAGAATGCTTGACGAGACAGAGTTTTTTATGGAAGAACCTCATCTCACCATAGTTACTTTTACCTTTTTCACTTTTATTATATATGTATTTATTAGATCACTTGAGTATTGGTACCTTTTATTAAAAGGGTCGATTTGGTGTTTTGCCGTTGAGCTGGTTTTTGGTTTCCTACAAATACTACGAGTTGGAGATCTTGGCTTCCTGTGGGAAGTCAGTTGACTTCCATACACTATGATATACTGTGAACATATTATCTTGTTACCTAATAAATTCAGCGAACAAACATGCAAACTTTTGGCATAATGTGAACTAAAATTGAAATTGAAAATGTTAGTGGTCATTTTGCAACAATTAAGGCATAGCACTTTATCTAGATGAAAACTGGATTTCTTATCTTTGAAATATCTTGAACTGATTATTGCTCAGAACTAAATAAGCATGCAAACACCTCATTTGTTCATGCTTGAAGTGAAATGTTTTACTTTTCACTGGAGAAGACAAAAACAGGGTGAGCTTATTGTTTTATACAAGTGATGAAACTATACCTTGCCTTGTTTAAGGGCAAATACATATTTATAAATATTTTGTCTTTTTTTCTTCCACAAGACATATACAGTAATCACTTACCTGGAAGGTGAGTCTTTATTCTGTGTTTAAGGAGAAACACTTTCCAATTGAAGGTAATTGATATAGGGAACTGTTTGTACAATATATAACCCGTATATTTGGCTACCGGTTGCAAAGTTTAAAGAATTGATTGATGGTTGAGCTCTAATTTATTTTCAAACTGATTAATAAGAAAAACTATTAAAATTATCTTTGAAATGATTCTTGAAGCTAATTTATTAGGAAAAAATGTTTCAATTGGAAGCTTATAGAAGTAATATCTAAATGCTAAGTCATAGATTCAGTACATTTTGTTTTGTTTTGGGGGTTTTTTGTATGTGTTTGGCTTTTTTTTTTTAATCTGTAAAGAGTGTTTCCCAGTGACTTAACTGAAATAATTTCTTTTTCATAGAAAAGGTGAGTTTAATTCAGTATTCACAGATAGACTTGTAGAATAACAGAAAGTATGGAAGATAACGCAAAGTCATTAAAAATGATTGTGTGGTTAAGGAAAGGAAGATGGAAGAACAAAATGCACTTATCCACCAACACTCCAAGTTTTTAAACTTCAGAACTATTTCATAATTTCTTCCCTCTTCCTTGCCAATAAATGAAACAAACACTAGGCAGCTACATTTTTCCCGCCCAGTCTTTTTACTTTACGTAACCACAGTAGCATGCAAACACTTTTTAATTATTCATCCCTCACTCATTGCATAAAGCTGAGAGAAGGTATAGACACTCAAGACCGTTCTGAGGTCAGCAATAGCACAAAGGCTCAGCAATATTCCCTCCAATGGCCAGGGTGACTGTGTATCATTTTCCAGCAGGCCTGAGAAGACCTGTTGATTTCTTTTAACTGCTGGATGTTTTAAAATAAGTCATAGCCTTTCACTCTTAAAAAAGAGGAGAAATAATTGCTTTATTGGCTATTTACTATTATAGCATCTAGGTTATGATACGGTATGCTAAGACGACATTTTGAAGTCAGTTCAGTAAAATGTGGACATCCAGTCCTGTTATGTTGATGCATTTCCTTCCAGGCAACACGAAGTGAACTGGTTTGAAGGGAGCCAAGGAACAACACACATGGGTGTTGATTTGACTATGAAACCAGTCATGTTGGGTTTTATGACCTGATAATACTTTGGGTTTAAGATGAAATAGGAATAAAGTGACAGAAATGGTCTCTATGCATTTATTTTCATGGATACCCTTAATTTCATGGGCATGCCTAATAATGAACTGTGTTCTAACTGGAGCTTAGGGCTTATTTTAGATATTGGAGTGTAGCTTTATTACAGATGGATTTTATCTTTAAACATTGCATTTTGATCAACTTTGTATATTCATGTGTATTAAAATATTGTGCACTAAATGTTTTGCCCTTGTTTGCTATTATATGGTCAAGGCATTTATCAGCACTATTGTGATTAACTCATGTAAATGGCATGGGTCCGGGAAAATTATTTCCTACTTTCCTGCCTAATTAAATTTCTGTTTTCCAGTATTACATTTATTTATTTTTGGCTTCCATTTCTGTATAACCAAAATAGTTACTGTATTTGTGTGGCATTCATTTGACTTTGTTGCTAAAAAAAAAAAAAAAAAAAAAAAAAAAAATTTAGTTTTTATTTAAAACAATCTGTACCTTAATTTTCTTTAATGTAACCAATTCAAGCACTTTAAGCAATAATGTCAATCTTGTGAAATTTCAATCAGTTTAACACCCTGCCTCTAAAATTGTTTGCAAAAAAAATAAATAAATGAAATAGGAATTCTCTTCTTAGAGAATTATATACAAGTAATGTTACACACACACACAGATGCAAATCCTTTCAATAAAATGGGGGTCATTAGCAAATCTCATATTCAGGTCCAAACAATTTTGAAGTGGTGGATGTGTAAAGAATGTTTGATATTATAATCTGTAAAGGACTTGCTATTGTCAAGGTTGATAAAATCAGTGACCTGGAGATAATTCACCACTGTTTTGAGTGAAAAAGATTAACTGAATTAATCCAGAAACTTATATCTTGGGATGAGCAAATTAAGATCAATGAAAAAAAAAATTCAGGGCAGATCATTAGACATCCCATTCGATTGCTTAGCTGTGGCTACCTATAAAATCTCCTTCATCAGCTCTGAAACAAGACACACAGATACAGCTCGCGGCTCTGTAATGTGTGAGCATCAGTTTTAGGACAGAAGGTATGTGTGGTCCTGGCTCTGGGCTGCTGGGCTGCTTTCTCAGCTGTGAGATCCACAGTTAGGGATCCCCAGTTGGGTGCTCACCATTCCTTACACTGTTCTATCAGAAGGGGGACTGGTGGGGACCCACATGCTGTGGTCTCAGGGAATGGCTTCCCAGGCTCGAGACTCAAGATTGCTGTTAACATCCTTGAGATAGCAGCAATCCACTGCCCACCTGTGACTATGCAGGTGTCCCTTTTCACCAACTCTGTCCCTCTGCAGGGCAGCAGCCTTCCTGCCTGCCCGTGACCTGTCAAGGCTGCCTGCCTGCAACGCTGCAGGCCTCTCTTAGCAAACTTGTCCCTTCTGGGGTAGCTCTTCCTGCCCTTTATGTCTATGCAAGTGTCCTTTATTCCTCTGTCCCTTTCCCTAACATCCTTGGGATATTCCTCCCCAGCCAGTCACTTCAGGGTGTTGTGCATGGGCAGGAGATTATCATATGAATACATTTGCCTGGGTCCAGTTGTGGGAATAAAAACCCAGTGCGCCACTAAGTCACCCACTTTGCATCAGTCTTTTTTTGGGGCAGTTCAGTTGAACCTGACTGAGCAGGCATAGAGCCTGCTGGGAAAGTCACTTTACCTGCCTTGAAGGCTGAGGGAAGAGAAGACCCTGGGAAAGCATTTTCTATTCTTCGTTTTGTCCATCTGTCAAATGGAGATTTAATTGTGGAGATAGTATAAAGACAAGCCACTCAGTCTTGCTCTAAAGGTGCCTCAGCTGGTAAGATTCATAAGCGATTGTTTAGCACCTGCTCTATGCTAGGCAGTGTGCTGGGACTTGAGGAAGACGAAGCAGGCAGGATCTCTCTTTAGGTTTCTCGCCTTGGGAGAAAAGTCAGTGGAGGGCCTCCCTGGTGGCAAAAGGAGTTAAATCTCAGCACTATGAAGCTATGGGCTGCACTAATTCGATCCCTGGCCACATGGTGCAGCAGACCTCTCCTGTCTCTCCCGCTGTTCCCCTCAGCAGTGTATTTCAGTAGATCTGCCTGTTCTGTTACCCACTCTGCCTCTGATGAATCCTCTCACCCCCCCCCCACTAGGCCCCCCCCCGCCGACCCCCAACCCCGCGTCTGGCCTACTCCCCAGCTCTTGCATGCATAAATAAATCTTTTTTTTGTTTAAAAAGGAAAATCAGTGGAAAAAGAATTTAGAGTGTGGAAATTACTTGTGTGTGGAAAATTCATCATGCCCAGCATGGTTTGGTATTCAGTCTGGTTCCGACTATGCAGATGGGTACTGAGGATAAAATAGGTCGCTCACTTCCTTTCTTTCTGGGACCTCCTTCTGGGCGCCCCACTCCCTTTCCTGCCTGCTTTTGGTGTTGCCTTAGCCTGCTCTCAGCTCCTAGAGACAACACAATTTTAAAAACCCTGTGTGAATCCAGTATGTGGCAGCCAGGTACCTGAGGGTTTGTCTCTTAGTTATTGTGTTAAAAAGAGCCAGAATATCAGAAGTCTTACTGGGGTTTTATGAATAAAACGTCTAAACAATCTCTTTACATTAGTACCAAATAATTAGAGACTATCTAAACTTAACCAAAATCCATCAGGGCATGAATTTTTCAGCTATGTGAACTAATGATTTTATGGGCTTATCAACCGGTGTTTTAATTTTTGGGTTCCCCTCTGTTTTAATAGTGCTTCAAACAAAGCATATTAAGAGCTTACAGAGAAATGAAAAATAAACTTCATTTTGGTTATGAGACACCAGAGTCAGACATTAGATTTTGTAGGAAGGATTCCTAATTTTGTGCTCATTTCCCACATGAAGATTCATAATAAAGTATTTATTAGCAGCCTTGGGGGTATCAGATTCATGTTGTGAGAGAATTTTTTCAGTTTTAAGGCAGTGTGAAATTCCACAGAGAGCCCTTCCTGGAAAGGTTGGGCACTTGTTCATTGAAATCATATTTTGTTCTTGCCTCTCCGAGGTAGTAGGGGCCTTGGAGAAGAAAACTGAGATATAGATTTGGCAGAAAGCAAAATAATTTAATAGTGGAAGCCACCATTTCTATATATCTTACCAAGTTCTCCTCCTGTGATCCAACTCCACTGTATTTGTGTTTCAGAGTCTCTTAATTGACCTTGCCTGAGAGAACATTCTGTGCTGAGACAACTGAAAATAAACACCAGAAAAATGTAAGAGTGAGCCTTCATACCTTCTGCAGCAAGCTAAATCTCTTCACTAGAGAGCTTCTCTCCAGGTTGAGAATTGCCTGTTTCCCAAACTGAGACGTAGAAAAACACTTTTTAATGGGTTATGAAGCCCATGCGAAGAAGCAGCTCATTCTATTGCCCTCTCCAAGTTACCCCTCCCTCTCCTCATCCCAGAATAAATGGTTTGAAAATTTTTTGCAAAGAAGTTGCTTCTGCATCTTTTTCTACCTCCTCAATCCCAAAGCCCAGAGAACAACAATAAGTATAAGTTGCTAACTTGCACTTTAGAGGTTTCAGCAGAAGTAGGAGAGAAGGCTGTGGCATGGAGAAGAACCTGTGCCCTTCATGCTTGTGGATTTGCTTGGTGTTTAAAGTCTGTCATCTGAGGTGTCTGTGGAAGTTTTTATGAAGAACAAACACCACAGAATCTGCCCTCAGATAGGAATTTATATAGAATGTAGGAGTATAATGAGGTGTGAATCTCAGCGGAGAAACAGAAGAGGGTAGTCCTTCTAACATTACTGCTCAGTTTCTGACCTTGGGTCTCACTCTAACCCCTGTCCCAATCTGTGTGCTTTCCCTGGAGACTTAGAGGGTCCCCTGTGGACCCCACACCTGTCCCTAGTTCATATACAAATTCAGGTTCTATGTGCTTTCTGTTGTCCTGACCGGGATCTCTCATAGAACTTTAGACTCAGCAGTAGTGTGGAAAAGCTCTCTGGACCTAGAACCCAAGTCCAGGTACTAGTGTGGAGATCTAGTAGGGATGAGGGGGAGAAGCATCAGAAAGCTTAAAGGCTTGATTGAGTTCAAGTCCTCACTGGCTTCCTGTGTGATGTCACAGCCTTGTCACCTAAGTCAGATGTTGGCCATAGTGTTGGGATTAGGATGCTAAGGACTATTTTTTGGTAAAGAAGCTTTCCCTCAGGTTCTCAAGGGTGATGAAGACAGAATTGCACAACAGTGGAAAACATGTAACTAGTTCCTTACATAAGAAGTTCTGAGAGGTGGTTACCTGAAAAAAGAAATAGCAACAGTGTACAAAAACTAAATAAGTTCTGGGGTACTGTACTACTGTTGAGTTTTACCTAAACCCTATAACATCTTTCAGGCACGAAGGACAAGATTGTGTGGAGCTGAGAAACAGAAAAGCAGCTCCTGACAGCCAGGGACTGGCCCACAGCAGCCCCGCCTTGCCTGCTGCTCTGAGCTGGCCTGGTACTCCCCGGGCCACAGTGGTTTCTGGGTGAACATAAACAATCTCAAAGAACACTAACCTCAGACAAGGTCATGCTGAAATGAGCATAAAGCATTATGAAGTGAGACAAAAAGCAAGACCACTTCATAGTTTTATCTGCATAGACAAAAACAAGGTCACTGTAAACCCCCAGATACCAAACATCTCTTTCCCTCCTTCACGTCCAAGTCACAGCTGCTGCTTATACGATGATGACACTTAGCTTTGTTGTCCTGCTAGTTAGATGAGATTTATTAAGATGTACATGATGAAGGAATTATCCCCACTTTGGAAAGCACACAACAGGAGTGAACCCCTATTCCTTGAACCCTCCCCTAAGAACCAAACCAAAGCCCCAATCCTGTAAGTTCTAACACCCTCTTATAGCACTGCCCACCGTGTGTGGTCTCACTGCTGTGAACATCAAACAGTTTGTTCAACCACTCTTGTGTTCCTGGTGGTCTGGCTGGGGGAGCCCTAACTGAGGAGATAACCACTTCCTCGGGTCAGCCTGGGTCTGCTCGTCTCATGGGCGGGAAGGAAAAAGCCACACACATTCAAGGTTTGTCATTAGTGTCCCACCACCTAATGATCTATAGGAACTCCTATCCAGGAGGGGTGGTGGTGTTGGGCTGGGTGCCAAGGCAAGCTTAAAAGTAACTGACTAAATCAGGATCTCAGTTTTTTCTAACCCGTAGAGTTAGGGAGATCAGGGTTATGATGGATGCTGCAAAGCACGCCAGGCATATTACATGGTGGTTATGAGCAGGATATGGTAAGACTGACAGGCTTTGTTCATTGTCTATGCATTCTTGGCACTTCCACACCCGTCTTTATGTCTCACAGGCTCACATGTGTCTGTCTGTAGAGCCAATGACAGAACCTCTATATGAGGCAGGATCTGAAACTAATCAGATGGGGCCTGAGTGCCTTCTGCAGGAAAGGCACAAAGTCTATTTCAGGAATTCCAATCTTCTGCTGAGAAGATCCCTGTTCTGTCTGGATCTTGTTATGTATGCCAATAAACTTTCTAGAATCAAGAGTTAAGAGCTGGAGTCGGCAGTGAGAAGTGGAGAAGGCAGAGGGGCCTAGAGGTAATTGAGGATATAGTGCAGGGTCTAGTGCCCTCTGCTGGGAATTTTTCCTGAACTGTGGCATGTCCTGTTTTTATTTTATATACATTATTTGTTCATGGTCTGCTAAAAACAAACCAAACCCGACCATTTTAAATCTAAATTGAGGCTTAAGTTTAACAGGCTCTCCCCTATCTGCAGGATCGAGCAGGAGAACGAGGGGCCACCAGGGTGAAGGAGAGAGGTCAGAGTGTCTTGAAGACCGAGTCCTCTAGTTCAGGCCTAGGCAGGGTCGGTCATTGAGTGAAATAAATGCCTGCTATCAGGCAAGAGTGGAGGCACCTGTGAAGCGTTGAGAACAATTGATTCCTGTCCCTATTTAGATGTCACAAAGCAGAAAAGGAAGAAAAAGAAGAAAGAAACACAGCATATTGGAGAGATTGATATAAGGATTGAAATGAAAGATCTGAGAGCCAGTCTCTTATTTGGGAGGGTGTGGGAGAATGCCCCTCAGTAAGACAGCTAACATGACTAAGCCTGATTTTAAATCCTTACAGCTCTGAGGGCAAATACAGTTTTGTTTCTCCTATTCGCATTCTGATTAAAATTCTTTGCAAGCTATTGATTTCTTTGTTGCACAAAAACTGTAAGAGTTCCCCAAAGTAATAAAGGGTTGGCACTAATTTGTTATTTTAGAATTTATGGAAAATTGTTATGTATTTTGCAGCATTCTTGCATTACTTTTGCTGAGGCATTTCTTTGTAGTCATGTCTGCTGATCTCAAATTATAGGATGTGTAATGGAACTTTAATCACATTAGGCTCAGGATTATTCTCTTTTCCATTTGGACAGAAAGTCTATAGTGACATCTGAGAACAGGAGCTGTGAGTAGGTGAAGGATGGAAATGTGAGAATGTTCAATAAAGAAATTGCAAAGCGGCTCTGAAGGAGCAGGGGGGACGTCGAGTTATCCTTCCTCTGCTCAGCTGCTTGGTGCCTGGCTTCTGTCACACGCAGGTCTTGATAAAGTTCACTGATAGAATTTTTTTTTTTAAGATTTGTTTGTTTATGTATACAAGAACTGGGGTGCAGGCCAGAGGTGCAGAGAGGTGAGGATTCACCAGAGACAGAGTGGGGAGCAGAATAGGCGGATCCACTGAAATACACTGCTGAGGGGAGCAGCGGGGAGACAGGAGAGGTCTGCTGCACCATGTGAGTAGCTCCCTGGTTGGGGATTGAACTCATGCTACAATGGCTGCCTATAGCTTCATAGTGCTGAGACTTCACCCCTTGCGTCACAAGGGAGGCCCCTAGAATCTATTTTAAAGTAGATTTTAGAAAAGACATTTTATTTTAAAATGCTTTATTATAGGACATTTTAAACATGCATAAATGTAGAGAACAGAATATTGAACCTCTACAACCTCTCTGCTCATCCCAACAGTTAACTATGGACAGTCTTGTATCAGATGGATGGAATTCTCAGATCGTATTGGAAAGTCACCCAGGGTAACAAGTCCCTAACCCTTTAGGATCTCTGAACCCAGAAAGGGTAAATGAGGTGTTAGTACAGTTCAGATTAACCACCAGCTGTGAAGGATGGGCCATTTATTTTGTCATTCCTCTAACTTTAAATGTTTGGTTTTTTTTTTAAAAAAAAGATTTATTTACTTGTATAAGAACTGGGGTACAGGCCAAATGCACGGGAGGGTGAGAGGATTCACCAGGGACAGAGTGAGGAACAGAACAGGCAGACTGACAAAATACACTGTTGAGGGGAGCAGCGGGCGAGACAGGAGAGGTCTGCTCGCCACGTGGGACCCTTGCCGGCCAGCCAGGATCCAACTGGTGCTGCAGAGGCTGCGGACAGCTTCACAGCGCTGCACTCAACCGCCTGCGCCACCAGGGAGGCCCTAACTTGAAGTGTTTTGTGATAACAATTTTATGGTTAAAGTAGACTTAGCTTGTTTAATGGCTAATGTGAAATACAATGAAACTGAAGCTTCAGTGAGGGTGTCCACATTTATTTGGGAAATTCGATGAAATGAATGACCCTCTATAACTAAGAGAATATAGACCATAGTCTGTGCATATTGATTCAAAAGTGAAAACTACCTGTCCCTCCACCCCTTTCTGGAATTTTCCCAAAGGAATGGGGTCAAGCTCAATGTTTCTATTTATCTCTTCCCTTTCCTGTTGGTATTTTCCCTCACAACATACCATTAGTAGACTTCACTGATCATTATATTAAATCAAAGAATGGTAGAGAGGAAAGGAGTCCTGGGATAACAGTGCAAACTTTCCAGTGTCTAAGTAAGGAACCAGCAGCCCTGAGGTCTTAGCAAGACTTGCCTGCAATTCTTTCCATGTCTGTATCACCTAGAGTAAGGTAGGGGAACTGGGGGCATTGCCCTGGTGGTGCAGCAGGGTTGCTGTTCTGTGTGTGGTGCTTCCCTGCAGCAGGAAAGGAATGCAAGCTTCGTGTCAGCTCTCTGAATGTCCCTGCAGACAGGACCCAGAGCGGCAGGGTCTTGGCAGCCAAGGCAGAGCAGAAACCAAAGGCTCTTGGGTGCAGAACCTCATCCTTTCCAACCTCATCAACTAAAAATGAACCAAAGTTGAGGTTTTCAAACTCTTCATCCAGAAGCCCTGCTTTCAGCTGGGTGTTTGTTGGCTCTGCTGGTTAAGTGAACCCAGCGATAGGTTTACTGTACTCTTTCAAGTATTAGTTATTTTTAGCACACGTTTATTGAGCAGTTGCTTGTGGCAGATACTGAGCTTAGCGTCCTGCATGAGTTACTTCAATGGGTTCTCACAACAGCCTATGATACAGGTTCCATTATTATTATTCCTAGAAATCTGACTTTAGAATTCCTAGAAATCTGTTCTGAGGCTACCAGAGAGGGAGGGAGTGCAGAAGCAAAGCAGGAAGGGGGCACAATGGACTATGATACATGATTATGAGAGCTTTGGTGGTGGGTGTGATGTGGTAACACATCTGAAGAGGTGTGACCCTGTTGCCCCTCAAGCCTACACAGTGTTGTAAACCAGTGATAGCACAATAAATAAAGCAACAAGCAAAACACCAAAAAAATTAATTCCCATCTAGACATGAGAAAATGAATCTGGAACTTCAGAAACTGTTTTTGTTTTTATTTTCCCTTGGAGCTCTCTGTTCTGGAGATCACCCAAGGTACCTGGTTCAAATTCCAGATACAAATGATGAGGTGGCTTAGAACCAAGATTTTGTTTCTCTGATGACTAAATTTTTCCCAGATAATAACACGACAGTTAAGGGCATGGGCTTTCAAGCCAAACAAATATGCAGTTAAATATAGGCTCTGCCACTTGGCAGATTGTACCTGACCAGTCTCGATTTCCTCATCTGGAAAACAGGGATGATGATAATAGTCCTGTACCTGGCACACTAGCTGATAACTGGTGGTGAGGGTGAAATGGAATGAAGATTTCAGGCGCATAATACAGCCCCCTGCTGCAGTGCTCAGTGCATTTCATGGTGGAATGTTAAGTGTCCAAAAAGTTTTAACTGATATTGATTCATTATTAGACCTGGACGAGTTGAACACAATGGTGTCCATTATTCCTTCAGCTTAATATATTCAGAATAGGAATAAGTAAAGCAGCCTGGATTCATTTAATGAACAAAAGTAGGACTATGCTGACATTATTCAGCTTAATTCTTTTTTTCTTTAAAGCATGGCCACCTCTCTGAGAGACCCCAGATCTGCTGTGGCCTGTTCTAAGCTTAGCTGCTCAACACATGTGCTTTTGCTGTAGGCCAGTGAAATAAGCAGATCAGGGTCTCGGGAGAGGTAGATGCTGTTTTGGGCAGCCTGTGACGGAGACAGCAGAAAGAGCTGGTGTCACCAAGTCATCACTCTTGCCGTTGGAGCAAACTTTTCCTGTAAGTAGCTTTGAGAGAGATTTTGCCTGCTGGGAGCTGTTCATGCTGCTGGTGTCTAATGAAGTCAGTATTTTCTGCAAAGTCTGGTCTCTGGTGTTCCTCCAGCGCAGGCAGCATGGCCCAGCCAGCACAGCTGGCGTGCCGAGGCCCAGCTTTCCGATACTGCAGTGTCTCCACGCCCTATGGCGTGGAGTGGGCAGGGTGAAGGTTGCCCAGTCCCTTCTCAGGCCCTGCCTGTCCACCCAAGATTGCCCAGAACACACTGCTCCAAATTTGTAGCAATTGGCAGCTCTCTTCTGTGCCATTCAGGCATCTCTTATTCAAAACACTGTGGGTTTCACCAACTCTACTCAGACAGAACCTTATCTTTTCTTTCAAAAAACACTTTGTGTTATTTTAAAAATAAAATTAGTTAATTCTCAGTGTCTACGATTAGGAAAAAGAAGACTCTTCACAATGCTTTTTTGCTATTTCTTTTTTCTAAATTTTCTGTTTCATTGAGGCAGCGTTGGGTTACAAGACTGTATATGATTTTAGCAAATAGGTTCACACCTTCTCATTGCCACATCTACCACCAAGGCACCCAAGACCTACCATAGACCATTGGGTCCCCACCCCTTTGTTCGGCCTCCTACTAGCCTCCGTTCTGCAGTTATATTACTAAGGCTTGTTTTTGCCATTTCTTGCCCCCAACTCCATTTTCTTCCCCAATGGTAATTACTAATAAGAGTTTGTGGAAGGCCCTTAATGTGTGCATTAATACACACATATATGAACATAGATGCGTAAACATGGATATACGTATTTAGCTTTAACTTTTTAAGCATAAATATTGTTAAATGTTATTCTTGGAACTTGTTCCCCACAACTTAATTGTCTTAAATATCTTTCTATATCAGAACTATTTCAGTAAAAAAAAAAAATCATTGTTTATAATTCCATAATATGGACATACCATAATTTAGTTAAAGAACTTATCTTGCTTTTCTTATCTTGCTATTATTAGCAACCTTGCAGTGGCTATCTTTGTACCTATATCTCTGTGCAAATAGCCTTTTTAAACTCAAAACGTTTCCCTCTATGGCAGACCTCAGAAGGGTTAGCCAGGAGCAAGTGTTGATTTAGTCCAGGGAAAGTGTTGCATTAATTAGTTAAATCTTTTGGACAAGAGCAGATTCTGAACTTCAGAACTACTAAGTTGCATGAATGCCAAGCTGTTGGTTTAATGTAGGCAGATGCTGGAACCTCATCTGAAGATAACAATTAGAGACATAATTTTAAGATTGTAGAATTCAGTGTAACAGACTTGTTGTCTTTTCTCCTTTGGTGTTTGGAATTCTTTCAAGTGTCCTAGAGCCAAGAGAGGCTTGAAAGTTGATAATGTGTGTTTTTCCACTGTTACCCTTTCACCAGGATCTAGGGTTTCCAACTCCTGCAATTGTGAAACTTGTCTTCTTGCAGAAATGTTTGCCCTTGATTTGGGTTTTTTTGTAATTGTTGCCAAAGTCACATGATACAAGTTTTTACAACTTGTATCAAAGTTTATTCTTATTTTGCTATTCTTAAAGTCAGATTTAGACATCTGAAAGTGGAAGGGGGAGACTTGGAAAGAGAACTTGAGAAGAAACTACCTTTTCAAACACAGTCCTTAATGAAAGTGATGACATCACCTCTGTTTTGACTTTATGGTCTCTTGAGTGATCTTGTTCGCCTGTCAGACAGTCTGCAACAGTGATTAATATGCCCACTCTGGCCTGAGGAGGGAGTATGTTCTGAAACAACAGAGCAGCAGAGCACAGCAGGGGCGGGAGCCTGGAATCCAAGTGTAGACTCCGCCTGGTGCCCTGGCTCCCCCTGACAGGGCATCAGAACCAGTGGAAAGTTTTCAACAACGACATAGTGTTCTGGGTCTCATATCCAATGAATCCTGGACTCCTGTGTGTGGTTCCAGTTCATCCCCAGCAAGAAATACCGTGCCATCAATGCAAAGAAGTTATTAGTAATAATGATATTGATGATAACACTTTACATCGCTGTTCATGGTGATTTTAATGATTACTGTAATGTGTTGAAAGATAATGGCCTGATGCTAATAATCAGAAAGAAACCGACATGTAGACTTGGATGCCGACAAGTGTAAATATAATCCCTCATCTTCATTCCCTAAGCCCATCCCTTCACCCCCAGACATAGGTCTGCTACAGAGGCATCGCTGCACAGCCGTTTCCAAATGCCTAGTCCACACCACCTTTTTTTTTTTGGCTTGGAGCTACCTTCTGGATTACGTCCTCCAAACTATTCATGGCACAGCAGCCTGAGGGGTTTCTTTTTCCTTTTTATTTTGAAAAATTGCAAACCTACAGAAAAGTTGCAAAAAGATTAATAAGCAACTGTTTGCACTTTACTTAGATTTACTGATTATAATGTCTTGCTATATCTGGTTCAATCTCCTTATGTATATTATTACCACTATTACTGTCATTATAATCGGCTGACCCACTTGAGAGTAAGCTGGACATGTTATGGCCCTTCATTTATAAATATTTTCTTCTGTATCCTCTAAGAATAAGTGCGTACTCATCTAATAACCATAGTACCGTGATCAAATTCAGGAACTTCCATTTAATACTAATAGTTCATATAAAATTCATATTTAAATTTCACCTATTGCCCCCCAAATGTACCTTAGAAATTTTTTTCCTTCCAGGATCCAATCCCTCACATTTTGTTGCCATGTCTTTGGCCATATGTAACCTCAAACTCATGACGTTAGGATTAGTAAAGTGTGTAAGTCAGCCTTTTATGCAACACTCCTCTGTTTCAGTTTTCTGAGGTTTCCACATGAGAAAATGCAGGGGATTGGTTTTGGTGGCTTCCTTTCCAGAGCATCACACCAGGGGTGATGTGTGATGTGTGTCAGATGATGCTTCTGTTGGGGTTATCACCCTCCAGGGGCAATTAATTGAATGACACTCTCCAAACCGAGATGGCGGCCTTACCCACGCTCTGACCTCCTTCTGTTGTGCTTCCCTCTCCTCAGGCTTTTTCCTCTCACGGTCACCCTGGACTTCTTCCATCTCTTGAGCCAGTCAAGCCCTTTCCCTGTTGAGTTCTCCCCATTCTTTCTGGTTTGCTTGCAACTTGGTCAGTCTGTACATTTCAGAGTTCAGCTCTGAAAGAGACTAAAGAATTCCCATTACCTTGAAATGGAAGTTTCTGCAGGATGATTTTTTAAAAAAATATGTTACCTTCCTAACACTAACTGTCTTGTTTTCTTGCCTTGTTCCTGTAATGCTGAGCTATTCAATATGCAGGATAAGCCATAACTGGCACATGGCACACTCTAAAGTTCAGACATGTGGCAGGTTAGCCTTTCTTTCTTTTTTTTTTTTTAAGATTTATTTATTTATGCAAACAAGAGCTGGGGTATAGACCAGAGATACGGGGAGGTGAGAGGATTCACCAGAGACAGAGTGGGGAACAGAACAGGCAGACTGACTGAAATACACTGCTGAGGGGAGCAGCAGGCAAGGCAGGAGAGGTCTGCTGCGCCATGTGGGTTGCTCCCTGGGCAGCTGGGGATCGAACTCATGCTGCAGAGGCTGTGAATTGCTTCATAGTGCAGTGCTTAACCCCTTGTGCCACCAGGGAGGCCCTTAGCCTTTATTTCATTATAAGAGTTTGCAAGAAGAGAATTTAAAAGGCAGCATTAAAAATAAATTTGAAATTTTAGAACAACTTAGATCTATAGAAAAGTTTCAGAGACACAGAGAGTTACTGTATAACCCCTCACTCTTTTCCCCTAATATTGTTACCAAGTAATGGGCTCAAACTGATGTGCATATGAGCCAGTTACCATGACACCAGATTTTGGTAAAGAGAAGGAAGCTTTATGGCAAGTTGATTGGCAGGGAGGTGAAAAGGAAACTCAAATCTGCCTCCCTGATTTAAGAAAAGGAATCAGGGTATATAAGTTTGAGGATTTGGAGTTCAGAACAAAAGAGTTAACATCTTTGGCTAAGGAGTGGGCTAAGGGTAAAGAAATGTAAACTTGGCTGAAGTTCATTGACTAATTACAGAGCCGTTCACACATGAAGTTTGAGGAGGTTTTTTTTCAGATAATGCAAGTTTTGAATTTCTGTTGGTGGATCCTTGCGTTGGTGTTTTTTGGGGAGCACTCCCCTGAAAAGTCCTCCCTCCTCCACTTTTGTCTTCTCCCAGCTCCAGCTGGTCTGGGACTTCGTTCAAGGTTAGTTGCTTCTGCTTGCTCAGGCTAGGATACTTGCTGATAAGCTTCCCAGCTCTGCTGTGTCTGCAAAAGGCAGCTCAGAGGAAAGTTTAGATAAGTTTTCTTTTTCTTTTGTGCTTTATGGTCTGAAGGCACAGCCACTTAATATTTAAGCCACATTTAACCTTTTATTCTCCATTAAAATGTTGACACTTTATCTTGATGCATTTGTCAAAACCAGGAACCCAAAACTTGTACGTTATTATAAACTAAGCTCCAGACTTGATTCAAATTTTATCAGTTTTTCCACTACTATTCTCTTTCTGCTCCAGGATCCAATTGAGGATGCCACACTACATATAGGTGTCTTCTCTCCTTAGTCTAATCTGGTCTGGAGCACTTTGCATTCTTTCCTGATTTTATTTTTTCATTCAGCGAATATTTGTTTTTTAAAGGCCAGTAACAGTAATTTAATATACATATATATTGTGAAATGATTGCCACAATCAAGTGAATCACCATGTTTTTCATGATCTTGACAATTTTGAGAAATACTGGCTAGTTTATACACTGTCCCTTCATTTAGTTTGTTTCACATTAGATTGGATTGTCTCGTATTAGATGAATTTTTTAAAAGAATGCTACAGAGGTGGGGTGCACTTCTCATTACATCCAATCAGTGGGGCAGGTGTGCTGTCAACAGGCCTTAGCACTGCTGACATTCACCTTGTTTCCTTGCTAAAGTGTATCTGTTTTGGCATTATAACCTTACCATTTTTTTCCATTCTACACCCCAATCTTTGGAAACAAGTCACTAAGTCCCACCCACACTGGAGAGGCATAGAAATGGGGTTGGAAGGCAGAAAGCAGCTTTAAACATTTTAGTATACTTGTTTTGTGATTTAGAGTTTAATATTTTTCATTTTGATTACTTCTGGGGGCAGATGGCTATATTCTTTTGAAATGTTTTGATCAGACCTACTTCAATAGCATCCCTAATATTAAAGTTGACCTCTAAACAACACAAGTTTGAACTACATGGGTCCACTTATATGTGGATTTTCTTGTAAACAGATGATGTAAACTTACAGTGCCAATAAATATAGTATAGAACTGTAAATTATTATCTCTTATGAATTTTCTTAATAACATTTTCTTTTCTCTAGATACTTGCATTGTAAGACTACAGTATATAATAAACATAACATAAAATATGTGTTAATCAACTTTTTGTTATTGGTGAGTCTTCTGGTCAGCAATAGGCTATCAGTAGTAGTAGAGTTTGGGGGAGTCAAAAGTTATATGCAGGTGTTTGTGTGGGGTCAATACCCAAACCGCTACATTACTCAAGGTCAACTATAATTGCCAAAGCTAGAATGTGCGGTGGTTTTTCCTAGGTGATTCATAACCATAATCAGCAAAGAGTTGCTAGGAAGTTTATACTGAAAATATTTTGAGCTTTGTAAAGAAAACTCTATAGCTGATTGGCTGTTACATATGTAGATATTTATGGAGTGCATATATCTGTTAGGCATATATATGTTTTTTGGTGTGGGAGAATAAAAATATTCCCAACCT